TTGCTAATTTAGCATACTCCTTTTGGTTTTGTCGAAATGTAGTGCAAAAGGGATACCATTGCAGAAGAAACCACACTAAAGGGTAGGATAATGAAGTATTGTTTATTTTTTTCAATAGTAAATTCCTTCTATGAAAAGGAAAATTGTTCTGCATTTACGGTTCGAAGCGTTAAAATTTTGCAGTGGGATGACTCTCTCATGATTCTAGATTTTAGAAGTTGACTCTGAAAAATCCCACCTTATAAACATAGAAAGCAGTCAAACATATGTAAAATGCTATTACCACCCCGAGTTAAAGTGTAAAAAAGAACAGAAAATACAGTTACAGTAGCTGTACTGTGCCCATTTCTGCCCGTTTCTGCCAAGAGCTATTGCTTTCAAAAGAACGGATAAAAAACAGCTGCAATTGGCAAGAAACCACAAAAATTTTAATTAGAATAGTTGTTATTTTTCAGCCATGAATATATCAAAGTTCTACCAATTGATTTGTGTGAATTATGTTTCAGTAAATGAAATAAAACTCAAATTATGAAAAGAAATACTTTTAAAATGTATTTTGCTGTCTCGGTACACAATATTACATCATAACAATGTGACCTTAATGTGTGCGAAAAACCATGTGAGCTTAAAAAGTTTGTTGAGCTGTATGCAGATAACGAAAACATGGAAAAGTATTCAAGCTCACAAGTCCAATTATCAATACAGAATAGAAGGTGAGATCAGGTGCCATGGAGGAGACGCGGTGAGTATCTCCTGCCGTACGTTCACATCCGCACTGTACTACCTGCCAAGAAAGGAAATAACGAGAAAATCCGTCGACAATTCAGTGTGTTTACAAGTAAAATTGATGCAAAGCATCAAATCGGCCGCAAACAAAATTAAGCATTAAAAAAAATTCTTTCTCAATTTTAAGAGCGTCTATGCAAGGAAAGCACGTCATGATTATTTGAATCATTTTTATTTCAGGCTGTTTTCATAGCAAAATAATAAATAATTGTAAAAAAAGGACATTTTACCGCATTTGCTCATAGATTCATCGATGTAAAAAAGCAAAATAAGAAAAAATTATGATAAGAAATTATTGTCATCAAAATGAAGATGTAGGTCTCTCAACTGCTCAAGAACCACGTGCTGGTACCCTTGATCTTGGTCATGTGATAATGCCCATGGTTCCTGCATAGTAGACTATGCTACAAGAAGCCGCGGTGCAAAATGTTGAAAACATATCTTTGGGTCATTTGCAGCTGTAGAGCATATTCAAAACAATTTTTACTTGTTAAAAAAATTTCAATTTTTATTCACCATGCACTTCTTCTACGTTATTGATATCCGGGAAATCATGACAATTTCCTTTCAAATCTTACACACTCCCAGACTGGGGAGTATCTAACGTACACTCTTTTTACATAACCATGATTTATCAATTATCTGGTGAGAAATGATAATGAATTTGAAATATAATAACAACAATTAATACTAAGTTTAAAGCAAGGTTTTAAAATATTTTACTCATGATTTTTACTTTTAATCATTTAAGAATTATTTTACTGAACTAATAAACAATAACGTCTCATTTCCCCATGTGCACTTCCTTCTAACACAATCACAAATAGATCGGCCGCTGCTGCGGCCGATAATAATGGCCTAACAATTAGTATGAAAAAACGTCAGTAAGCAATTGATTTATTGATATATTGTATTTGCTGACAAGGTTATTGTATCGACCATAGAATAGGAATTTCTTGAATTTAACCTTAATAATATTAATTAATTCACGTGATATTTTTGTTGACATATTTAATTTAGAATATTTAAGAAATTGATGTTTTATTCGCGTCTTCTTTCAAATATACATTTTCTCAAATGAAAAATAATAAATATACATAATAAGATTAACTAATGATAAATTTAAAGAAATACTGTTGGTAAGGTTAATTTTCATTTATTTGAACACACAGAAGTGAAGATAATTTTATTTTTTCTGTATATATTTCATTGAAATCAACATGTTGTAAAATCACTGGCATGACAACAATTCTTGACAGATTTTACAACAATTCTCTTGATAAGCAAAGAAATTGTTGTAGTTGATAAAAACAACAGTTTTTATCTGATCAGCAACGATGTTTTAAAAATATTGTAAGTTAAGTGTGACATGAAAATTTAAGTCACATACGAGGGCTGTTCGGAAATTATTGAGATAATTACATTTTCTCCATAAAGGACGGAGATAATTTCATGAAAATTTATCAACATTTTATAAAGAACGAATAAAACATTTATACAAAATTTCGAACTCCTATGATAATAAGAAAAGTTTTGGTGAAATGATAAACATGCATATGCCTATCGATCCGGAGCAGCATCGCTACGTCATTAAACGTCAGAGACGGTTTCGCATGTAAAATGATCGGGAAGCGTTTAATACTTTTCCTTCTTTGTAATGATATATAACAGTATAAGAATCAAACAGTCTCTTGAACTATTCCTTAAAAATGTATGCTGATTGTAAAAATTTCATTTGTGGGAAAAGATGTCTTAAAATCATGCAGTGCCGATTTACGCAACGCGGGTCAACGATATTATTACCGTACATAATAACTGATGGTCGTCCGGAGCTTTTGATTTTACTCTGGTTAAATTAATTGTAAAAACAAAAAATGTATACCAATGAAATAACAAACCCTAACACATTTTTTTCTCGTTGTTATTGTTTTAGCGGGTCGTTGAGTCTGGAAGAGTTCTACATTTGCGCTACACAAAATTTTAGGTATTTTCGCTGCTCCGCCCTTGACGTCAAAATCCATTTATTCGTTCGTAGCAGATTTCTACGACGGCGTATTCGTGCCAAATTGATAATTAGAAAAAAAAATTAAAAATCGTTTGTACGATTTTTTAAATTGTTTGAACGATTAGAAAATCGTTTGAACGATTTAGAAAATCGTTTGAACGATTTAGAAAATCGTTTGAACGATTTAGAAAATCGATTGAATGATTTAGAAAATCGTTTGTACGATTTAGAAAATCGTTTGTACGATTTATACCCCCTCGAACAAAGATGGGAGGTTATATTGGAATCACCCTGTCTCTGTCCATCAGTTCAATCGTATCTGGACGGTAACTTCTTACTGGTATGTTGGATGTTGGCAATACTTGATACAATTAATCTCCATGACCCACGGATGTGTCATAATCTTGACAAAGGACCTATGACTAAGGTCAAGGTCAAGGTGGACTTAGATCTGAAAGTTACCTTATACACGGGTTGCCATAGGGTATTAGCCCTTTAGAAGAGTTTTACTTTATTTTTGTTAACCCATACTATATTGTTTGCACTTTTAAAGCTATTTTGAAACCTGCGGCGCATTGGAATAGATATAGAACACTAGATGTCTGGCATCTGCCTGGTATATGAAATCACTGCATGTATACATCATTTCTGTTGGTCATTAACAAATGAAGGTTGCTGCAACTTCTTACTCTTAAAACTAAAGTCTTAGAGTAGTGTAGAGTAGTGGATGTCAGATTGACCTTGATTAAATGCTTTATCTCGTCATGTCTAATGCTCTATGAAGTTTAATGAAGATGCGACTTGTCATCATAGTATTATGGTCATTCATGTGGGGCTAACAAACATGACAAAATTTAATGAACATTGTGAATGTAATCGTGATATGATGGTTTACCAATTATAACATTACAATAATATTCATACAGTTTAAGTAACAAAATACATTTATTGTTTCTGTACCTGTTATATAGTCTATATTACAGCTTTACCAGGTTTCTTATCCAGTACGCTTCTGTTCCGAATCAGAAGAAAAAAAATCGTACAAACGATTTATCAAATCGTACAAACGATTTCTAAATCATTCAAACGATTTAAAAAATCGCACAAACGATTTAACAAATCGTACTTTTAACGATTTTCTAAAATCGTACAAACAATTTCCTAAATTGTACAAACTATTTTAAAAAATCGTACAAACGATTTAACAAACAAATTGTACAAATGATTTAACAAATTGTACAAACGATTTATTAAATTGTACAAACGATTTCACAAATTGTACAAACGATTTAACAAATTGTACAAACGTTTTCTTAAATCGTACAAATGTTTTCTTAAATCGTTCAAACGATTTTAACTTTTTTTTCCCACATTGTCAATATGGCACGAATACGCCCTCGTAGATTTCTCTACCGCGCTTAATTTTTTTTTATGATTTCCGTATTCCTTATCAAAATTCTAACAAAGTTGCACAACATGCATGAATTTGAATGAAAGCTGAATTATTATACACAAAAAACAGAATTATTTTCGCTCTTATTATGGGTTCACTTAGAATTAGAACCTTGGTGATACATATTTTCAATATCTTATTTCGAGACGGCTCCGGGTACCCCTACTGATGACGCATTCATATACCATTGTACAGAAAATATTTAATATTTGTAAAATATTTTTTGCTTTTATTAATTCATAGTGTATATCAAACGTATATTCAAATTTTCATCGAAAGACGTTCATTAGAAAGCAAAATATACACAATGTCTCAATAATTTCCGAACAGCCCTCGTACTTACAATGATTTAAAGTCAACATTGGTCTTGAATTTAAGAACTGATGTTATAAGTGATGAATTATTTATTACTAAAAACTGAATATTTAATGATCTTTTAATAAAAAGTAACTACACATTTTCTTCTTTATGTGTTGAAATAAATAATGAAATTAGACAAAAAATGACCATTTGCCAGTGATTTTACAAAATGTTGTTTTCAATGAAATACATAAAGAAAAAAAATATTTTCACTTTTGGCACACATCTTTCTATTTTAAGAGCCCTTGTATATATATATCTGTTCATCTTATGTAATTTCAGAGTACTCGAAGAGTGGAAAAGAAAATTAAAAAGTTATATTTCCAACTTTCAAAAAAAAAAAATCGTGACACTACTACGCTTCCATATCCCAAGATAAACCAGAGCAAGGGATCAATGTTTCTCCATCTGGTGTACTTTCATTTTCGATGAATGTACATGAAAACACTAGTTTCCAAGGAGCCCAAGTCTTAAAAATGGGTAAGGAAATTGTTTAATTATGAGTAAAAATATTAATTTAAAACATGCGACAGAGATAGCTCTCTACATAAAAATGATTAATGAAATCAAGCCTTCAACAGCTGTTCAAGGTTTTACGTACTAGTTACTTAGTTATGAGAATCCGGAAGTGATCTATAGATGTCTAGGTAATTTCTGACTGACACATTCTTTGGAAAACAAATAAATTGATTAAAGCCAATGTAAATTGTTTACCTTAAGTTGAAAATATAGGGAGATAACGAACGGTATTAAAGTCCAATACAAAATAGAAGCAAAGCAAACACAGACCTCTAAAACATCAAAGGTAGGATCAGTTGCCATGGAGGAGTAAGCATCCCCTGGCGACCGGTTACACCCGCCGTGTGCTCCTCGTCATGATCGGAAAAATTACGGGAAAATCCGTCGACAATGCAGTGTGCAAATAATGGACTAACAATTAGTATGAAAAACGTCAGTAAGCATTGAACTCGGTGATAAATTGTTTTTTGCTGACAAGGTCAGTGTATCCACCACAGAACTTACGAAATGGTGACTTTAACGAGACTGATGATATTCTTGTTTCATCAGGTTTTTTGTCATTTTAGAAATTGTTCATACCCTACATAGAGTATGCTCGAATCAACTGAGAGATATAAACCCCGTATGCTACCGGTACATGTATATTGCTGTAAAAGTATGGAAAGTTGACGATTGAAAAGTTTAAGTCATCAATTTATCATATTAAAGCTTTGTTGTTAGATTACCAGTAACGTCCTTTTCTAGTTTAATACTAGTATCCAAATATGAAACAGATATCATCTGTTTTTAGCTCTACTGGTCAGAGACAGGAAATTTTTAAGGTGTCAATCGTCCGCCCGCCCGTCTGTCTTTCGGTATGATTTTAAAAAATATATCTAATCTTGGCACACAAGTAGACTACACTAAGATACATAATTTAATGCATCGATATTTAATTCGATGAACGGTGTAGCCGCGGTTTCTAAAAATAGAAATTTCTGTGAAATTCCTTAAGCTTTATAACGCTACTTCTCCTACAGTTTTTGGCCTGATTTCAGTATAACTTGCCCAGGTTACACTAAGATACATAAAGTAATACACCATTTTTTAAAATTTCGATGAACGAAGATGCGTTGGTATTAACTAAAAAAAGAAATACATGTATATGTGAATTTTTTTTAAAAACGCTTCTTCTATAGTTTAGGTCTTATTATAGTACATAAATGTATATACATGTATAATTGGCATGAAGTAGACTACACTAACTAAAGCGACCATTTTTGATTTTTGATGAACGATGTTGCCTTGGTTACTAAAAATAAAAATTTCTTTAAATCGCTACTCCTCCAGACTCCTCCTACAGTTTTTGTCTGATTTCAATATAACTTGGCACACAAATAGCGTACACTAGAATACATGCTGCTATATATCGGGTTTTGATTTGGATGCTATGGTTACTAAAAGTGCCGAAGGCTTGAAGAAGGAACGGTTGCTACTTATTTTTTTTTTTTTTAGCTCTGCTGGTCAGGGACCAGAACTGAGCTTATGCGATAGTATGGTGTCAATCGTCCATTGGTCTGTCTGTCTATAAACAATTTTTCAAAATGCCACTCCTCTTACAGTTTTGGTTTGATTTCATTATAACTTGGTACACAAGTAGAGTACATTAAGATAATAAACTAGTGCATCAGGGTTTTTTTTGTTGATGAAGGGTATTGCCATGTTTACTTAAAATAGAAATTTTTGTGAAAATTCTTTTAAACCGATATTCCAGCTACAGTTTTGGATTTATTTCCAAATAATTTTGCACTGAATTTAATTAGATTACATTATAATGTACATGTCTTTATTGGTATTTGCTTTTGGTAAATGTTGTTGTCATGGTTACTAAAATAGAAATTTCTTAGAAATACTTTCAAAATGCTACTCATCCTACAGCTGTTGTTTGATTTCAATATAGCATAGCACACAAGTAGACTAAATTTAGATGCATAATTGCATTTATTGATGCCCGTTACAAAGTCTTAAATCCAAGTGCTACTTTTCACTTGTACGTACGTTTACGCTACTGTCTCGTGACAGACTTCTGGTTGTATGAACAATAAGTTTTATATCAAAACTGGGATTCTGAAGACTGCAAAGATGACTTATGTTTAATATATGGTACGTTTTATTCTTACAAAACATATACATTATCTCCGTTAGGCTGCTTTTTCGCATAGAGCCTGAGCCTCTGCACTGCAGGGTAGATCATTCCAAACAAGCTCCCCACCAGCAAAATAGACAACTCCACAATCCTCATTACCACGTTTGTTATTAGGTTCTCCTTTTTTCCAACCAATGTACGTCAACACCTTTCCTGAGGAGGACCATCTCCAGTCTCCTTCTTTACGTGAATCTGTAGCATCGATCCAAGCAACGGGATCTGCAGCTGTTAAAACGAACTATTTTCTAAACAAAAATTTACGAGGTCCGATACCTATTAATTAATTAGAAATGCAACTGCATAAAAAGGAAAGTTTTATTGTCAATTGATAATTTTTATGAAGAACAATAAAATTGTAATGATATTTTAAAAAGATTAAAAAAACATTTCTATACCCCTGAATGCATCACGAATCCAGTTATTTTCTCTTTTGGATAATATTCTTGCTAAGTTGGCATTCAGTGATTGACATGAACTCTAAAAAGAAAAAAAAATTATAACATAGATTTTGAAAGTAAAATCTCAGACTTATCAAATCTGAAAACTAATCAAGACAAAAATAATTATCTAAAATTCACAAAATTTAATCACAATAAATGATGATGAAAATACTATATGAATAGAAATCGTTGAACACCTTCAGTTTATCTATGATCATTTTCTTTTATTTTCCCGAGGATATATTGATTGACATGATGACTATGTTTTTGTCCTCTATTCTTACGGTAAACTTATATCATTCAAGCTATAAGTTAATTGTTCCCTAATTATTTTTTTATTTGGATACAAATTTAAGATTTAAAATCCGATGCTCATTCATGAATGAAGACTTGACATCTTTATAAATGATAGTTATAAAAGTACAGATAGTTACGAATAATTTACTTTTAGTTATAATCACCAACAATTTAGTTTCACTTGCTTATGTCCCTATTACAACTAGTTTAGTTTTATTTCATATCTATACATGTACCTTTGAAGTAGACCAAGAAGCCTTTTTTGACAGAAGCTTGTAGCAGTTACCATCAAACTTTTTCCAGTCTCCAGGACACTTCTTACTACCTCCTAAAATTTATTGTTGAATAGGCCCGTGGGTCATTTCGCTCATCTGAGCAAAATTCAGTTTATTATTGTTAAGTTTAAATATTTTCAGACGTCCCAAACTGTTAAAAAGTGAGCTTGTTTTTTTTTTTTTTCAAACTTGACCCTTGACACTAACTGGTGATGCCTACATATTGCTTTGAAAAACTATTAGAGCTTTCGATTTAAATAAAATTGTCCTATAAGTTTTCTCTTATATTGTGGCTCTTTCCTACCCCAGGACTATATATTGATTTGAACAATCCTGAATGTACAGTACTTGATAATGCTTTTGTATTAATATAACTGACATTGGCTTTGGTGTTCTTGAAAAAAAAAATTAAAACATCTTTTAATTCCATATATACTTTTATTCTTCTGTTTTAGTCCAACCCTACCTCCTGGGGTCATGCTTTGAACAAATTGAATCGACACTACCTGAAGATGTTTTCAAATGAATGTGAAGAATTTTAAAGATTTTTTCTATGCATTCCTTTGTAAAATTTTGATTGCCTTTTTGGATACATTCTACCCTCGGGGACAGGATTTAATTTTTTACGACCTGAGGATGTTTTTATATAATTTGATCAATTACAGCTCTGCTATTCGTAAGAAGAATTTTTAAAAATATTTTTTCCCATTTTTTCTTAAGTAAAACTTTGAACATTCATTGTGGCCCTATCCAACCTTACCCGCAGAGGTCTCGGTTTGAACAAACCTGCATTTACACTCCTTAGGAATGGTTACATCTGACCAATTTTTATATACCATATGGTTCTCGAAAAGAAGAAGATAAAATTGTAAAAGTTAACGATTGAAAACGGACAAATTTTAATCAGAAAAGCAAATTTTAGCCTTTGGCTCAAGTAAGCTAAAAGTAGGAAACCATATTTACATGAAATACCCACGCCTATCTTAAAATATACTTTGATAGTTGCTGATCTGTATATAATCATTTTGTCATCCCAGTCCTTGCAGTTCATTAACATTTAACTGATCATGAATACGAGAACAAATTACCAAATTTTAATTGTCATTTATTATGTATGTTCTTAACCTTTGATAATCTCAGAATCTTTTGTTGACGTGGAACATCCAGAATCCTTACAAACTGTTTTAATCTTTGTCTCAAAATGCGTTTCCTTTAACACAAGCATTTATAAATAAATAATCTATTTAATACCTTTCACACAAGCATTATAAATAAATAAATGAATAATTTCTTTATTTAATATTATACATATATTGCATAAAAAATAAGCTGTAGTAATTAAACATTACCGTCAGCTCCGAACCTATGGCCTTGCTGGAGTTACGAAACTTGACATGTAGACCCCATAGTTTTGCCTTCAAAGTGTCACTAAATTTAACTGATAGAGACTTGGAGTCTGTCAGCAAAATGAAGACTGATATAAATGAGCCGATTAAAGCAAAATGCATTTTTGAACAGAAGCAACAGTTCAAAATGATCATCAGAGACATATCCGCTATTTATTTTGTAAACTTGAACCTTTTGCAAGACATTAACACACAAATTAATTGCGATATTGCATGTTCTCCGTTATACACGACACTATATGTGTAAGGGTTATCGATTTATTATCAGATCTGTAACATGTAAAGCAGATGTAATAAATAAGTATATTCATCAATGTATTGAAACTTTCTTTACAGTTCCAGTTATTATCATTTAAGGAATGGATGAATTGAAAAGTTTTTAAAGTAAAATAAATATGAAATTCTCTATCACACACTAAATTTTTTAATATTGATTAATGGTAAAGGTGTTCTAAGAGCGGTTCATGAATATATGCCTTCATGGCAAGTCTGTGTGATTTACACTCCAATAACTCACACAGAAGACTTAAAAACATTCCAAAACATGGTAATTTTTAAATCGCCATCTTCCTTCACTTATGTAGTATGTAGTCTATGTTTGAAGACTTAGATGCTCTAAAAAGCTTCCGAAATTCCTATAGGTACAAGTTACGCCCCGTCATTTATTTACATGATGCAATATTTATTCAAAATCTTTATTTACAATCTAAATTGCCTTTCTGGGTGTCTTTCTTTGAATTGCACTATATTTTATTATGCATTTTTGTGCACTCAGATTTTAAAAATCTTTCTTTTTTTACATTATGCTCATGATTTAACAGATTTAGCATTTTACGCACCGAAAACAAATGAGAAATTGAAATTTACATAAAGGATTGAATCCAACATTCTTTATAATTCGATAAACATGCAATTTGCTGTTTTTGCTATTAATAACAGATAATTGTTTGGTTTAAATATAAAAATGATATATTTGACTAAAATCTCATATTTCACTGTTTTGATTATTCTACAAGATTTCCACGTATACATCTGTTTATGTTCCTTGAAAACATAACTCAGCAACTATTGTTCTAAAATATAGAAAAGAAAAATACTGACAAAACATTTTTTAAAATATTTTCCCAGAATAATAATAGTAAAATGAATTTAATTTTCTATGATATTGAAAGAATAATATTATTTAAAAAAACCTCTAGGTTTTTGTTTATACATACTGCAATTAATTATTTTGTTCTACTTTACAAGAGGAGACTACAAGAAGATTAAATGAAAAGGAGAAAATCTTCGAGCGTCTGAAAAAGAATTTGAGAGCTTTAAAAGAACCAAAGAATGTTCTCCTAGTTGGATCACTCGGAGTAGGAAAATCGTCATTCATAAATTCTACTATTACAGCTCTGACGGGGAAATACGATTATTACGCTGACATTGGCGGTGGAGACAAGCACATCACAACCACATTTCACAGGTATGTATCTTAACTTCAACGTTCCCCCTCTCTCTTCATAATAAGGACAGTACTCGTAAACTGAGGCTGTATATGAATTTGACTTCTTATCACTCTTTTTCTATTAACTTCAGTTTTAATTGTGTTTTATTGCCAATTCAAAAAAGATCATTTTTATAACTATTATTGTCGTTTTTCTTTTCTATTTTTCTGGACAACTTGAATTTAAAAATGTACATGTATAATTTTTCAAACATATACGGAGACTCCTGATCAATATTTAAAACGAAGCAGGTTTCTTTTATATGCTGGACACTGTGATAGTTATACATATTTATATAGAATATTTCACTCATACCAAGACACCCTATCAATATTTGAAACGAGGCAGGTTACCAACAGGTAAGTATTTATTTATAAGGAATTTGACAACGGAATGTTCAAGGTGGTTGAGTCGATAAATTAGACTCACGATGGAAGTGACCCTACCTAAGAAGATGCTTACTCATCTTCATCCCACCTCTGGTTATTCCAGGGATCCGATTATTTTGCTAAATATTCACAAGTTTGTATTAATGCTTTTTTGCTAGAACAATCACTGTTCATTATCTTCAATCTTCACCTTTTTTTTCATTCAATAGAATCAGTCGAGACGAATATTTGGACCCTGAGGATGAAGCAGATAAATTGCTTTGCTTCCCAACATTCATTGACATTATCGGATTGGATGCTCAGTTGTCGTCATCTAAAGAGGAAGAGGAAACGGTTAACAGTATGTTAATGAATCTTATCATAAACGGGAGACTACCGGAGAATTGCGATCTACTCGATGTAAGCAGACAGCTGAAAGCAGGGAAAATAATAAAGGACCGGAACGAAGAGAAGAAGCTAACGGTGGACATCATTATGGTTGTGATTTCAGCAAAGAGTACAAGCATTCCACAGACACTCATCGACGAAATTTACAGAGAGGCAAACATAAAGAAGAGAAGTAATGTTCCTGGTTGTAAATAAAAAGAAAAAATGCACCAATATTTCAGTTTTTATCAATATTTAGATATTAAAAAAAATTTACTGGAATCAAAATATTCGAAATTCACTTAGTTTATATGAAATATTTGAAAATAATGAACCGTATTCTAGGGTTCATTTAACAATACAATTAAGCTAGAGCAGAGCAAACATGGACCTTTAAAACATTAGAGATGGGATCAGGTGCAATAGAGGAGTGAGCATCTCCTGCTGACCGGTCACACCCGTTGTGTAATTCAGCCTTATCATGATCGGAAAATAACGGGAAAATGTATCGACAAATCAGTGTGTAAATGACGAAGTAACAGTTAGTATGAAAAAGTAAAATTAATCTTAATTTCACTTAATGGTAGATTGAATGTGCTGACTAAGGCATTGCATCAACCATAGAAACCATAGAAACTGATAACTTATCTTTTAGAAATTGTTCATGCGTATGCAGGTGATGAAGCTATATTGCTGCATAAGTAAGGGAAGTTGACAATTTTAAAGTTAAAGTCATCACGTTTACCATAGAGCTTGGTTGTTCGATTACCATTAATGTCTATTTCAAGTAAGATATCCAAATATGAAACAGATGTGTCAGACCCTGTGGTATCTTATACTTGCCCACTGGGATAGATTGTATTGATATAAGAATGAGAATAACCAATGTCAATTGATAATACGTCGTCGATATATCTTAATCTCAATTTGAATGCAACATTACGAGTCTTATAAATCATAGACCTAAAAATTCACTTTAGGCCTTTGCATATATTAAGGTTAAACAAAAATAATATTTTTAAAACAAGATTAGAAATACATATATTATAATTTTGCAAAAAAATACTTGTATTCACAAGTTTCTATAATCCTTAAGTATGTCCATTTTTAGTTTCAACATGACTAAAAGTTTTGATTTTATGGTGACATGTACGTGTGATTAAAAATTAATAAATTTTCTCTCCTTCAGAAATACCTGTGTTTGCTGTATTGACAAAAGTGGACGAATGTGACATGTCTGAAGAGGAGCTAGAGGTTAAGAAAACTGAAATATGTGAGGCCATTGGTATTACAAAAGACAAACTGCTAGTGTGTAGAAATTATCAACCCGGAGACGCACCAGATATTGAAACAGACATCAGAATACTGAATTTCATGATAACGGTATTTTACTTATTTTATTTTAATATCAAGTTATATACTCAAGTTGTTTAAAGAATGTTTCACATGTGCCAGTTCCTCTTACATGTATATTATTGGCATTAGCCAAACAATATTTATATAATAGTGTTGCATTATGCATGTACTATGCCTAAATAGTAGGCAGGGTTTGACACATGGTATGTGTCAAACCCTGCCTACTATTTAGGCATAGTACATGCATAATGCAACACTATTGTTATTATTATGCTGACTGTTGTAATTATTTATGCGGCAATCCATTTGACTTTTTCCTGAAAATATCGGTGCTAACACAGCGCACCTGCAAGAACTCATTCAAAATCTTCATGCTAAAATTGGTTGCATGCTTAGTTATTTTGGTTACTAGTATTTTCTCTAAATAGGTCGGGATTTTCTGTCCCAAAGCAACTCATCTTTATTTTCTGTTTTGTTAGTAAGACTTATTTGTTTGCAGACGTCGATTCTCATTGATCTTTTACATCCTTCAATCAAGCGTCATATAAAAAAGCGTTTTAATGACCCCATGAAATCAGTTCATCTAACGATCTATATGTAATTAGTTTGAATCTTTGTTGTACACATTAATCTAAGGTTCCTTAGAATAATATAACTGTTTTCAAATAATATTTGTCTATTTTCTCCCTCTTGTGTCAATTGTATAAATTAAAATTATATATATAATAAAATTCTACCAATAAGTGATCGTCTCTGTGGCGTAATCGATAAGGCATCGGACTGACAATCTCATGGTCGTGAGTTCGATCCCCGGCGTGTGCACTGAAGAATTTTCTTCAGTAAATAAAGCCGTGCACTATTTCGGCATAGTGTGTTTACGCTATATAAATCCTTAGACCTCTATGCGAGAATAGTAGGGTATGGGTTATATAGAGACAAACTGACAGGAAGCATAATAATTTGGAATATAATTTGGAAAGTCTTGTTGATGTGCAATAAGGGATTTTTGTTTAAATTTGCTTTCCACCTTAGGGACGACATTTTTCTTCAAAAACCTGGTTTCCTGACTTCCTCATATTTTTTGTGGCAATTTACCTTTGTATGGGGTTTCCGGAGGGCTGTACGTGTTAAATATGATTTCCCTTTTTTACTGGGGGCTGTTTTCGATAGGAACCACCTTTTTCGAAAAATATAGAATTTTGTTGCAAATGCATGTTTTTTTTTATTACGCTATAATTGAGAAAAATTCTTAAGAATTCTGAAAGCAGTATGATGAAACAAGAATATCAACAGTCTCGTTTAAAGTCGTCATTTCGTAAATTCTATGGTTGATACAATGACCTTGTCAGCAAATACAACTTATCATTGAGACAAATGCTGACTGACAATTTCCATACTAATTGTTAGTCCATTATTTATACACTGAATTGACGATGGGTTTGTCCGTTATTTCCCGATCATGACAAGGAGCACACGGAGGGTGCTACCGGTCAGTAGGGGATGCTCAGTCCTCCATGGCACCTGATCCTACCTCTTATGTTTCGGAGGTCCGTGTTTGCTCTGCTCCTGTTTTGGTTTGTTTATGGACTGCTATTAAATGCTGTTCGTTATCTCCATATCCTTCTTTATGCAATATTCCTTAAATTTAAAGATCTTGATTAAATTGTTAAAACACGTCAATTTGAATCAATAAATATTTGAATACCTTATTTTAGTGCAGATGATAAACATTTAAGCATACTAGTATTTTCTAATACACTAAGCTGTAAAACTTAAAAATGTTTGCCCAATCTTCATTCACGTCTGCACACTTAAGCAGAAACGCAACGGTAGTCCAGTCACAAACACAAACTTATTTAACTAATTTGTCTGAATTTCAGAAGTTATCTGGATCCTTTCCTCGGGCACTATCTTGAAATAACCAAAAGTGAATATTTTCTGGAATAAATCTGTAAAATAAACTACATGTAAGGTGAATTTGGTTATTAGAAGGAACAGATAAAAACTATTGGAATTAGGGGTAGGAAGTATATATTTCTTTGTAAATATTTTTCCGATCTTTTTCTCCATCCACAGAGTTTCTCATTTGCCCGAGTTTAATAACCCATATTATCTTCTTGATAATTGCAACGGAACATTGGGAGTCGGGATAAAATGATTGTTGATGGCGTAGGGCTTAATGAATTATATATTGTTTTATTCTTTTTTGGAATAAAAGAAAATACATAGCGCTTTCTAAAAGCATAATTTGTGAAGATGACATAAAGGGAATAAAATTAAGGTATAACAGAATCCCCATCTTTCCTACAACCATTTTCTTATACATGTATACGCCTACTGTTTTATTGAGTTCTGTTAAAACAATCACTGAACGCATATCGGTATGTATATAGCAAAAAAAGAAAACTCTTGTAGAAGTACATGCAAAGGTCTGGTCGTTAGACTTTGAATGCAGCTTTTTTTTGAACGTCAAACACATTTCATATTATATCTATCATAAAGACAACTTTAAGCTTCTAGAATATTTTAAATAATTTCAGCTGTGTAACCCGCGTTTTAAGGCAGTAACAATGGAGAAGGTTGAATTTGAGGAACCTGAACCTGCACCACCTACACCGACACCAGTCCCCCCTCCCCCAGAAAGGAATTGGTTCTGGAAAACGTTACAGTGGAGTTTTGTGGCGATTGTCATTGCTTTCTTCTCTTATCTAATACAGCAGATTTTGTCCAAAGATCAAAGATATACTCAACACATGATGAATCAGAGAAAAACATAAGTTTTCTAATGATGTTGTAAAATAGATAATGCATTTATTGGCAATATGTACATATATGAATAGTTGTGATAAATCTTCACTGTGACAGTTCTAAACTTCATTGTATTCCATACCTACTGTCATTTGTGGAAGAATTTGAGAGACAAATATTGAGATTCTCTCAAATACGGACTATAATTATTATCGCCTTGTAACATATTGACGCTTAATGTCGTCACATACGTACATAATCTCACATCCTTTGGAAATATTTCTGTATTATACGCTATAACAAACGGTTGAATTTATATCATATTAATATGATAACATTGTACTTTGTTTAATGAATGGATTGTTTTTACATTACAATTATTATTTAAAAAAAATAATTATATTTTTAATTCCTTTACATACAGTGTATATTGGTATATTCACTATCTGTGCACAATATAGGCTATAGCTATAATGAATGTTTTTAACACCAATTTTACCATTAAACATCGTAGTAAAAAATCTGTCCTTCTTTATTTCCTGTTCAAATGAATTAAAAAATGAAAGTCTTGGTTAATACATTGAATGATAACTTTCAATTGTAGTATATTTTACAAAAAATTATATAATATGAACTGGATTCAATAAAACCTTTAAAAATCTTTCTCACTTTTATTTAACAAAAATAGCGAAGAAGGATATAGAGATAACGAACAGTATTCAATTTCAAAGGCCATAAAAATACAAAATTGGAGCAGAGCAAACACGGACCTCCAAAACATCAGAGATGGGATCAGGTGCAATGGAGGAGTAAGCATCCCTTGCTGACCGGTCACACCCGCCATGTGCTTCTTGTCATGATCAGGAAATAACGGAAAAATCCGTCGTCAATTCAGTATTTAAATAATGGACTATCAATTGGTATGAAAAACGTCAGACAGAATTTGTATCAATAATAAATTATATTTGCTGACAAGGTCATTGTATCGACCATAAAACTTGATGACTTTAAAAGAGACTGCTGATATTCTTGTCTCATCAACTTGCTTGTCAACAATATACCTCGTTTTAGAAATTGTTCATACGTAGAACATTCTCTTGCGTATCGAATCAACTGAGATATATATACTCCGTATGCAGGTGATGAAGGTATATTGCTGCATAAGTAAGGGAAGTTGACGATAGAAAAGTTAAAGTCATCACGTTTATCATATAGCTTGGTTGTTAGATTACCATTAACGTCTTTTCAAGTAAAATATCCAAGTATGAAACAGATGTGTCAGACGCTATGGTATCTTTTATCTCAAGCTCACCAGGATATATCGTATCGAAGTAGGGATGGAAACTACCATTGTTAATTGACAATACGTCGTCGATATATCTTAATGTCGAGTTGAAGGCCGCAGCAAGTGTTTTCTTTTCACGCATATCCTCAGAAATATTTAACATATGTCATATGTACAGTCTTCAGATGCCCAGTTTTGGTATTAAACCAATACACCATACAAAAAATTGAAAGAATGTAAGGTTTCTATTACAGATATACTTGATGATTCCTTTTCCGATCCCATGGCTTCTGTTTCAAAATGTTCTGTGAAAAACTGTAAAATCTGTGCGCAATTGGTACTCATGGGAATTCCAATAGATTCTTGGAATACCTGGTCTCCAAAACCACATAGATATTGTCAATCAGAAACTCAAGCATCTCTTTGATGTCAACTTCAGAGTAATTATGTGTGCAATGGGAATGTGTTTTAACAAAATAATTTTGCAAATGATCAATGACGAGATAAGTAAATTTACGAGTTCAATTTTTATTGAAAACGCAGCTGTCAATGATATCAATAAGCCTGGACTTTAATTTATCGAGGGTAATGGTTGTGTATAAAGTTGAAAAGTTGTAAGTTTTTCAGCTGTTGATTTTGATAAAATCTTGTGATTTCAAATTGTCCAAAAGTTCTTTGGAATTTTTTTAGTATCCACATCTGATTCACACCACTTCTTGAATATATTGTTGCACAGTACTTTTGAAGTTTTTCCTTCACTACTGTCAATATATTAGTGAGGAGTAACAAAAGAGGCAAAGAAGAGACAAGTTTTTGTCGTGCCGAAAATATTGGGGATAAAAACCAAATCTTTACCACTCAACCAGGAAATGATTGATTGTATTCTGTTTAACGTCCCTCTCCAGAATATTTCACTGATATGGAGACGTCACCATTGCCGGTGAAGGGCTGCAAATTTAGGCCTATGCTTGGCACTCAGGGCCTTTGAGCAGGGAGGGATCTTTATCGTGCCACACCTGCTGTGACACGGGGCCTCGGTTTATACGGTCTCATCCGAAGGACCGCCCCATTTAGTCGCCTTTTACGACAAGCAAGGGGGTACTGAGGACCTATTCTAACCCGGATCCCCACGGGGTCAACCAGGAAATGAAATCCACCTCTGATATTTTAGAGGTCCATGTTTGCTCTTTTCCTATTTTTGCATTGTTTTATGTACTTACGATCTTGAATACTTTTAGTTATCTCCATATGTTTCATCCAATAAACGGTTGGGATTCCGATAGGTACCATTTGTATGCCTTAATTCGTTAACATGTATTGTATTCCTTTAAAGCATTTTCTAAAAAGTTCATGAGAATAAGAAAACAATTGCTTGGGCCTTCAATTTGGCGACATCAACAATGATTTTAGAAATTATTTTCGTTCCAAATTTCCACACAATGCATTCCAGTGAATTTGAAATGACCGACTCCCCAGTCTGTTGCATCTGTTTCAAATATACATGTAGTTGTTTTACTGACTATACACGATAAAGGACAACTTACAACTAAATTTTATGAAAAACGAGATATTTATAGATTCTCCAAGGCCAACTTTCCTTATTTATATAACACAATTCCAGTATCGCCTTCTTATGGTGTTGATGTCTCCCCTTTAATTCGAATTCGTTAGTCAAGAGCTTTCTCTAAGCATGGTTCATTTCCAAAGGAGGACATGCTTTTTTCTGACAAGTTGGTGTTACGGAAATTTAACAACCTTGTTTTAATTAAGTCGGTTTTTCTTGAATTTCATGGACATTATATTGACATTGTTGGCAAAATATATGACCTAATATTGAATCGTTTTTTTGGGTGACTTGTCTCATGACAATTACAATGCCTTCCTATTAGGCTGATTAGACTACGGAATGTTTCGTCTACTTGATCAAAACATAGGACTCATGGCGGGTGTGACCCGGCAATAGGGAACACTTACTACCCCTAGGTAGCTGATCCCACCTCTGATATTTCCTGGGGTCCTTGTTTCATGCCCTCTTCGCACATCTGTAATGTTTATAGTTTTTTTCTGTTTAGATGGGTCACTGTTCGTTAACTTTATCTTTTACATCCATCGTGTTTTACCTCAAGCCATGGAAATATATATACGAAAAGAAGTGAATTAATTGTGCTAAGAATTCTTTAAGAAACAGAGCGAAAATAAGTCAAATTAATACAAAAACTGTTTATCAAAATATTCCCAAGGTAATGATTGAAAGGAAAGGAAGTGGTGGCTATGTGACGAAAACCGTTCATTATATCAGAAATTGGACGGTCCTATGAAGGTCATTGAGATTTGTATCTTACCTAAAACTAAATGTTTTAAAAAGTTTTTGTATACAATGCCTGTGTAAAGGTTTGTTGTATAGAAATCTTATCAATTTATCGATTTTACACCATTAAACTATCGTTGACGAGGTACTTTACAAAATACAATATTCGCTTAAAACGCCAGCTTTGTCAGATTTTTAAAAGATAAAAATTTTCGTTAAAGATCATTAAAAGTAAAATCTTCACACCTTGGTCATAACCTTTTAATGATTAGTGCTTTGTCTTTCATATTTCACAGGTATATTCATCGAGAAGAAGTCCTGGGTAACTATATTTATTCATTTTACTTTTCTATATTAATTTTACCATTATTTTTCTTCGGCCATTACCCCTGGGAACTTCTAACTTCGGGTTTCTTCAACTTTGACACTGCCGCTGCAGTCTTTTATACAGCAAAGATCTTTACCTGAACAAAGATTGAAAGAGCAAAGCCACTTTGGGCCTTATTTGTGCCCTGAGAATTTCTGAAAAATCAAAACCGCTCAGTGTAGGTTGCAAATGCAGTATTTATCACTTGGAGTGTTAGTGACCACGTATCTTTTATCCATGACTTAATTTCCCTCTAGTCAATGCATTATGACGTCATAAAATGCGTCATTTTCCTCATATCCTTTATATTTCTTTGAAAATGACCCAAAGTTGAAGTACTTTTTTCAATATTTCATATAGAGCACGACCTCTGATCCAAAATATGCGAATACACAATAAAAGATCCGTTTATGCTGATCGAGAAGCATGTTTTATTTTTGGGATCGTGGATTGTGCTCATATTTTAATTCTTTGCTGAAGGTAGTCAAACACGCATGTTTTCTGCAAATTTCAAGATTGCAATTTCTCAAAGCCTGTTTTCGAATATCTAAATTCTAGAATAAGAAATTTTATTACAGGAAATGAAAGCATCAAGTGTCTACTTTATTTTAATATATGAAATGGGAAAGAGGGTAGTAGTTAATTAATTGATATATGATCATTAGATGCATAAAGAGAACCTTGCTTTTTCTTTCTTTAGTCCGAGCCATAACAGGGTTTGGAAGGTATAGGGTCATTTATGATTTATTACAATAAATTTAGAGGAAAAAATGAGACACTCTGTCATCAGCTGGACTCAATAATATTACATAAAATGTAAGTTGTACCTGTTTTATATCTAAGGACTACTAAAATTATCGTTACATGTAAAGAAAATTTAACACATTTCAAAATCGTTTCAATAATTAGGATATAGTCTGCCAAACCTCTTTTTTGCAATGGAAAAAAAGTGTTCTCTACCACCTAAAGTATTGAAAGGGGTTATTCTTGTCTAATCTGGTATACTTTCATTTTCGATGAACGTTTATAAAAACTTCAGACATACTTACACTTTCACACGCACATTCATAATTGCCAATACTTAGACCCTCTTCTCAAGGGGATCATTAGAGCATCGCTAATGTTTAAGTGCATGCACAATTCTATAAACAAAACAAGAGCGATTTTACTTTCGAAGTTAATTAATTGATTGTAAAACCCCAGTCACATTTCAAAAAACGACCAACCGCCGATGGGTTTTGGAGCAAAATGGGATCTTCGGGTGACAGTCGTCAGTTCATCGGCCGTTGTCTTGGCCGATTTTGACCTATTTTTTTGTCGGCCGACCAATTTTGTGTCCATCGGTCCAAGTTATAATTTTTCATGCGTCGGTGACCGATTTCTTCAACTGCTGTTATATATATCCTTTGACCAACCTTCGATCATCATCCGACCATCGGCGGTCAGTTTATCAGTCGGTCGTCCGTCGTTGGACAATAAGGGTGTTGAAAATTTCGGCCGACAGTAAAAATCGAACCGTAGCTCAGAGCTCGATAATCGAGCTACGATTGGCCGACTTGTGAATATTTAACCTATTAAGGATACATAACACAAACACAATTTTGATGCATGGATTGATACAAATTTTTTGAACGGAAATAACATGAATAATAAATCCATAAGATATGAAGAAATCTTAAGTATTCTTAGCTGCTTAGATATACACCATTTGTCGTTTTTATGCAATTCCATACAAATTTTACACACATTTTCAACATTGAGTCACAATTTTATAAGATTCTGCCACTTTGCTTTGTAAACATTACTCACGTCACCTATCTAAATATAGATCTATGAAAAAATATTGCTGATTTCTAAAGAAAAAAGATTTTTTTGTTATTTATCCAAGTTATCGGTGTCCCTAGGAAATAATGTGACTGCTCTGTGTCGCCCGATACTGTGTCGGCCGATCCTGTTCTTTCAGCCGACAAGACCAGAGAAATTTAGTCGCTCGACCATCGGTTTAAATGTGACCTAGGCATAAATGTTTTATAAAAAAAAAATAATGACTTCATCGACTTTCAAGTAGTATAATAATATTTATTTCAATGTAACCTAAGTCTAGTTTTTGTAAGCTTTATTTCAAATCATCTATTTCTCCTCTCATTCGTGTCTCTTAAGCTTGTAACATTTACTTTCCGCCTATATTTCGCATTATGTAATTTGTCGATTTTAAGGACGGTCGATCCCATGACTCTTTTCAAGTGACATTTTTTCCCTTATCAATCTACAATACAATCTACACCCATTTTCTATAAATACTCATGAAAACGTATTTTTGCAAAGAGCTCAAGTCTTAAAAATGGGTAAGTAATTTATATACTCGAGGGTTGTCCATAAAGTTTGGAAAACGATTTTTTGTTTAACTATATGGTCTTGATTGCAAATAAAAAATAATCGTAATGGAAAACCAAGCAGCATTGCTTGATAACGAACAAAATTCTTTAAATGCTGATAGAACAGAATTTATTCGCATATGATTTGCTTATATACTATTGTATGTATATACAATATAGTACGGATAAATCCAAGAAAAATCATAGTGGTCGGTGGATAAATATGAAAATTATATTCATATTTGTTTATTCATATAGTATGTGTATTCACTAGACAAAATTGCAAACGCACCATCTAGGAAAATTAATATTTTACTTTCAAACACATGTTTATGATGTATTTGATTCTTAAATATGTTGCGTTAATAAAAAAAAATACGGCATAGTAACGTCAAAATTTATAAATAAATACAATGTTTACTGAAGTGTGACCAATTCATTGAAAAAATTAAAATCGGGTCTATTTTATTTTAGAAGAAAAAATTCATTTTTTTCTTTGTATCTGTGTTCCTTGCATTTATACTAATTAGAAACCCAGGAAAAATGTTATCCTGTTTGCAGCTTTGACGCTTGAAGAGCGTGCTAAAGCAGATAGTATGGAGTCTGCAGGGGGTTCCTTTCAAGAAATCTGTAAAAAATGAAAACAGTTAAAAGCTAAAAAATTCCACTCATAAAGAATTGTTGCAAATAGATTAACAAACATAAAAATATTAACTATAGGTAGCCACGGCATTAAGTTAGCAGCATACAATAAGTTGAAAATTGTTCCACAAAACTGGGTCAACCGGAAGTTGAGTGGATTTGTTAAGGACACCAAGGCACTGGATAATTACTAAGCGATATGAGAGTTAATGACGAATTTGCTATTCGATTTATAACTCGGGACTACTACTGTGGCAGCCTCACAGACCACCTTTAGTGATCAAACATTTCATATCTGAGCAAAAATTGTGCGCAGTGCAGAGCTGAAAATTTGTTTTCGGACAAGAAGGTCATTCAAGGCTCTTGTCATGATACCAAGACATTTGTCAATCCCACTGTTTTGGAAATAATGGCATATTATATACACTGGCACATATCCGGCAAATGTTTAATGCATGAATAATTTTTTTAAAAACATTTTTGAAAACATTCAGTAATCTTTAAAAGAAGTTTGTAGTTGAGGGTAATATTGAAATTGTCACCCAATGAAAATTTGTTGATGAGTGTTTGTCATGTGTTTGTAAATTATCAATGTTAACCTGAATTACACACACTATTTATATGATAATGGTCAAGCACACGTGTTACTATCAAAGTTTTCTGTCTCGTGCACTAATACTAGTCTTAAAAGTGATCTGTCATTTAATATTTACATTTTCAACTGTTTTGCTATAATAACTCCTTGAATAAAAGTGTCTTGATTCCACAATATTTACAATTGCGAAGTAAAAGGTCAAGTCCCTATTAATCTACTATACCTTATAATGTGGTATTATATGTAACATACGTTATAAAACCCAGAACTGAGCCGAAGACCGTCTGTCTATTTGTCTGTCCGTCTGTAAACTTTTTACATTATCGAGAACCACCAGGCCTATTTCAACCAAACTTGTCACAAAGTATCTTTGGGTAAAGGGGATTCAAGTTTGTGAAAATGAATGGTCACATCTTTTTCCAAAGGCAGATGATTACAAATTAGTGAATCTTAAATCTATGGCATCTTTTAAAAATCCTCTTCTCAAGAATTACTAGGCCAAGAAAGATAAAACTTATCTGGAATATATAGGATTTTTTTTTTTTTAAAAATCTTCTCATGAACAGGAAAGCCATGATTGATCATATTTATATGGAAGCATCCTGAGGTTGTGTAAAAACACGTTTGTTCAAATCATGATTGACACACAAAAGACAATAAAAGTTTTACATAGGAATGTGTAGAAAAAATCTTCTTCCTAAGAACAGAAAAGCCAATTTTTGTTATATTGATATGGAAAAATCATTAGGAAGTGTAGATTCACATATATTCAAATCATGATTCCAGGGGATCCCAGGGGAGGGGTCTAACTGGTTATGAAATTTTTACAAAGGAATATAGAAGAAGAATCTTGACAAAAATTCTTCTGTTCAGCAACAGCAAAGCTGTTGCTATTAATGTGAAAGCATCCTCAGGTAGTTTAAAATCTAAGCCCTCCCCTCCTCAATTTAAACTTTTTAAAACTGAGCTGATTTGTACTTTTTTTCTAGTCAATGTGCTCAGGTGAGTGTTGTGTCCATGGGCCTCTTGTGTCATAAATTTGATGATTCTCAAAAGTTTTTCGTCATTTATTTGTTTACTGGATCGTGATATGCACCCATTCTCATATTGAGACCTACATATTCTCTGTTTTTCCAACATTGTTAAATACAGTAACATTTACATTTGTAAATGTTTTGCATATATAGCAATGTTTGAGGAAGGCTCTTTCACACCTGTGTAAAGCAGGTTTGTCACGTGACCATAAATTGGTTGCTTAGTCATATATGATCTACGTAATTCGATAGCAACTTCATAAGAGATCAACGTTTTTCAACACATTTAATTTATACCGGTGAGCATTGAAAAAAAAATTCGTTTTATGGATTTTAAGGTATACCTTTACTCAGATGACAAAAAATTCCACTGATAAGAACGAAAAACCTCCTAGTGCACATTGTACACTTATGATTCTTGTGTTAAATTTCAATTCCGAATAACTAGGTCAATGACCTACTTTTCATGCTAGTGGCCCCTGAGTATTTCTCGGGAAATACCCCAATTTTTCACATTATGACCAATGTTTTCTCACGAAATATTATAAGCAACCAAACTCTTTTAATAATAAAATATTAAAGTAAGGGAACAGTGTTGCTTCATATAAAGAAACGATTTGAGCTTAAGCCATAAACTTGAAAATTATTACAGTCCGAATTTCCTCTGTCATATTTATATTTTTTCCCCATTTTTAATTGAATATTACAAAAATCTGACTGATATGAACTCTAAATTATTTATAACCTTAGGTTACTCCTGTTGCCCTTATTATGATAATATTAATGTTATATGGGGTCATTGATCAAATTATTGAGATTTGTTGCCTGGAATGGTTTTTATTCATATTTTTGAATTTCCTTATTTCATGGCATTTAATTATTTAAGATTATTTATGAGCTTTAACACATATAATATTTGCAAAATGATATCTAAAAATACATTTAATCTTTACATTGTGATTAATATCACAAGGAATAAAAAAATTGACAAAAATGAAAAATTGAATTTTAGTCCGAATTTCCTCTACATTACCATGCATTGAATTTTGTTCCTGAATATTTTCTTCAAATAATAAAATATGAAATTTTTAAATTGATATTGACTTAAAACTTGGTTGTTTTATACATTTAGAACAATTTATGATTTAACATATTATACTTTAGAAAATTTCCTGTCTGTTTCCTGAAACCTGAGTAAACATCATCCTTAATCAATCGTTCCCTATTTTTTTTTTTATAATAAATCAGACACAAATGTAAATGTACATGTGAGTTATAAGGCGTCACTTTTTGAGTTTTATTTGGATGAAAATACGGATTGGCATGTGATCAAATCTACCATATAGCCCATCGGGCATATTTACATCCCAATAAAACTCAAAAATGGATACCTTAATTAATTCTTAAGTGAGACATGAATGAGTTCGCAAATTGGCGTCGTCGTTAAAACTTCCGGCTTTCGCTTCAATTTTCATTTATGTATTTATGCGTTAGTATTCGACATTTCCGATCCAATTATATCCGAAATAAATAATTTGTACTCCTTCCAACCGTATTTTATTTTTAATAGGTTTATTATCTTTAGGTAGTTAAACAATTTTAACATCTTCCTGGAAACATGCCTTAACTCAGAAAAGAAATTACACCTGAACAAAAGAATCCATAGTTAATTTACCTTCTTCGGGTAAATAAAGTGAAACGATTCAGAATTTGACTGGAATTAATTGCGGATCAATAAAGAAATTTTTGAAGAGGTTACGAGATAGATAGAATGCAGAGAATGATATTAACATTTTTCATTGGCCAGCACAAAGCCCTGACATTATTACAATACAAAATCTATGGAAAGTTCTAAAATGCAAGATTAATCAACGTTTAAATGAAATCAAAAACAGTGATGACCTGAAATGCATGCTGGCTGCAATTTGGAGTAGCCTACAGGTTCATTACATCAAAAGTCTTTATAACAGTCTTCCGAAGAGAAACGCACTGGGTTGTAACAAGAGGACAGATTGCCAAATACTTAGCCTTTAACAGTGATTAAAGTAACAAAATCAAACTTCCTTTGATTTATAAATTCGTTGTTTTTGCATCTTTTTAAATGTACGTTTACAACAACGGCCATATTGCAATCTCATTCATGTAACACTAAATTATATTACGTATTTTAAAACGTGTTTAGCTTACAGGAAAATTTTCTTTGAATTGTAATCCCTGAAACGAAACGGAAAATGTGATTTTAGTCTCTATGTTTTAAAATGTAATACAGTTGATGTACAATCTAAAACATGATCTGATAAGTAAAAAGGATTTTTGCTTACTTTTTTCGACTTTACAAAAAGAGAGAAGAAAAAAGCTTTGGGTGCAACTGGACAAGAATTTAAGAGCTCTAAAAGAACCGAGGAATGTTCTCTTAGTGGGATCTCTTGGAGTAGGAAAATCGTCATTTATCAATTCAGCCATCACAGCTCTAACGGGGAAATACGATTATTATGCCGACATTGGCGATGGAAGCAAGCACCAAACAAAATTTTTTCACAGGTGTGTAAATCTGTATTCTCCCAACTTGTTCGATAATTATGAGCATGTTCTGAGTACAAATATTATTTCTTCAACAGAGACAGTCTACCGACAAATAAGTTAAGAACACGGGTTGTATGTTAACTGGCGTGTTTTATATCCTTTATCAGGCCTTTGCTTTGAACTAAATTTGTTTTGTCTACTTGATAAATACATAGGACTCAAGGAAAATGTGATCGGCAAAAGGGGGGATGTAAAATATTCAAAATAACGTACAACTGTAACATCACCACATTAAGTTGATTATCTTATTTAAGAGCAACTGTCATCTGACGTGAAGACTGGAACACTATTTAAATAAAATTTATAAAAAGTAAGAAATATTATGATAGCTATGTATCTTCGAAGACAAACTTCACTATAATAATAATAATTATATATATATATATATATATATATATATATATATATATATATATATATATATATATATATATATATATATATATATATATATATATATATATATATATATATATATATATATATATATTTGAATATGAAGAAGAATGAAGTAACACATGGACCCTAATTATTTTACATAGAATCAGCCGAGATGACTATTGGGATCCTGATGATGAAGCAGATAAATGTAAACACCTCGAACTCCCAACATTCATTGACATCATTGGACTGGATGCCCAATTGTCTGCATCTAAAGGGGACGAAGAAACGGTTAACAGCATTCTGTTGCACTTGATCATAAACGGGAGACTACCGGAGAATTGTGATCTTCTGGATGCGAGCAAAAAGCTTAAAGCCGGACAAAAATTAAAGAAAAGGAACGAAGAGAAAAATCTAAAAGTCGACACAGTAATTGTTGTCATATCAACAGAGAATCCAATTATTCCACAGTCACTTATAGACGAAATCTATAGAGAGGCAAAAATAAGAGAAAGAAGTAAATAAAATATATATGGCACGCCAAATTCACAAAAAAATGAGATAAACCTAGTTTCGCAATTGATAAACTAGGTTTATCGACTGTAAACTATAGTTTACAAACCGTAAACTATAGTTAACGATTCGTTAAGTATAGTTAACGATTCGTTAATTATAGTTTTCATCTGTAAAACTATATTTAACGGTTGTTAACTATAGTTTACGAATGATAATCTAAGTTTATCTGTCTGCAATAAGCGTTAACAATAGCTTTTGTTGATAAACGTAGATTCACGTTTGTAAACTGTAGTTTACAATCGTAAACTATAGTTTAGAGTTGTTAATCATAGTTTCACAAAACGTGAAACTATATTTATCAGATCGTTAACTATAGTTAACGGTTTGTAAACTATAGTTTACAAATCGTGAAACTGTATTTATCAGATAATCTATGTTTTGCAATCGCAAATGATTGTTTTTGATGTTAAATATAGTTTACGGTTGTGAAACATAGATTATCGCGTTAACAATGGTTTACAGGTGTTAAATATAGATTAACGTTGTTAACTATAGTTTACAGTCAGTAAACTATAGTTTACAACCGATAAACCTAGTTCATCGACTGTGAAACTATGTTTAGCTCATTTTTGTGAATTTGGCGTGCCATAAATATATATCAATTAATGTTGATTACATGTACTTACTCCTAAATTGAAAAAAAAACATTAAACACAAAGTGCATTATACTGTAAACGTATTACAGTTGGCTGTGTATTCTTTTTAGCGGCTTTGGCGGAACGCAGCAACCACTAAATCAAATACAACGCTAATTATCTCACACATATACACTTAAATAAGGAGAGGAAGAAATGCGCTAAAGCAAGTCTACGGTAACTTATTCAAAAATCAAATTCCGCCAAATATCGTACACGCTAAATATAATACATGTACAGTACAAATGTATATGCTTGTAAAGGGGCTTGGGCACAAATTTGAATTACCGTAAATCTGGAAATTTTTGCTGTAGATAAATTTTTAGCAAATTTGCGAATTCATTGCATTCGCAAAAATATTTTTCTTAAAAATTAATTACCAATAAGAAAATGTAAACAAAGCAGTGGTAATTCGCAAAATTTTGAAACGTAAAAATTAATCAACACCATTTTGACCCGAATTCGCAAAATAAAATCGACGTAAAAATTTCCAGATTTACGGTATGCGAGGGTTGAAAAAAAAATGTCACAACTTCGATACTATTGCTTCTAGTCGACGTAAAACAACAATATTATAATGATTGAAGCTGCATTTATTTTAAATCAGACCTGAAAAATCAAATTGACATGATTTATAGTTTGCAAAATCAGGTTATATACAACGTGCGATTATGGTAGTTTCCGTCCAGCCTCATATTTTTCAGGGCCCCCTGGTTCAGGGGTTGTGGTGTTAGGGTGGGACTCTAAAGATTATACAGTGAAATATTTGAAAATGTTCTTTGCTCTTCAGTATTATGCCGATGATTAAAGTACAAAATTATAAAATTTCTATGGGTTGGGGAAATATATTATATACTGATTATATAGTGTAAATGCCACCACGTAGTTCCGCAGCTCTGTCTCTTGGTATTAGGTAATCGAAGTAAACATGCTAAGTTTATAATTATGGCGAGCCATGATGTTTCATTCAAAATTGTGTTAATCCTGGCCTCATGTTTAAAAGACAAAACATATCCAATTCTTGGAAAGTTGTTGCATGACACTCATGGCCTATAATGTCCGTGTGCCTCTTTTTGTATATATTTATATATTTTTTGATTTCCTTTGTTATTAAGTATACGATGTATCGTCTACATGTAATTGTAAATGTGCATTGATAATAATTTTATAAACATAAATGTTATTCTTCCTATCTTGGCTATAATCAAGAAAATCTTGAGAGTGTTTTATTTATTTTCCTGTTTAAGATATCCCTGTGTTTGCTGTATTGACAAAAGTGGACATAAGTGGCATGTCTGAACAGGAGTTGGAGGATAAGAAAACCGAAATTTGTGGGGTCATTGGTATCACAAAAGACAAACTGCTAGTGTGTAGGAATTATCAACCAGGAGACACACCAGATATTGAGACAGACATCAAAATACTGGAGTTCATGATTACGGTTGAGTGTTTAAGGATTGTTTTAATATCCTGAAAACTACACTTCAAACAACAATAATGTCAAGAAAACTTGAGAAACACGTTAAATATTCTAATCATCATTCCATCATTGAAAAAGAAAATCCAGTTTATTTTTACTTAGAAAAAAGCGAATCTAATATACCGCTTTGTTTCTGGTTGACTCTTTCTTTATACTTACGAAAATTAAAATAAATAAAAAATAATCCAGCAGTCAAAGTAAGCATGCTAAGTATATCGTTATGATTAGCAATGGCGCCTCTTTCAAATTTGTGAATTTCATGGCTTCTGGTTTAAAACACGAACATATTCAATAGTTGGAAAGTTATTGCATGCTAGTCAGGTGACATGTAAGATCCATGGGCCTCTTGTTTGATTGTCTCACTTGTCATTAAATACGGAGGCTTTTTTTTTAAATTTACACTTATAATACTATACATGTATTTACATTTACTTTGTTTGACCCTAATAAAAAAGCATTACATGTATATAATTACACACAAGACCAAATCACTTAAGTCTGTCTGGTGTATGAATACAGGGACTACGCTGTTACTGTTTAAACAAAGCGGAAAATTTTCTGTTATACAATTCATTTGTATTTCTTTGTTGCAAAACCAAAGTTTATCTTTTTAAATTAAAAAAGAAAACTTTGAAAATTGTTATCTGTTTTATTGTGCACTGTATTCGTTTCCGGATTAAGCTGTTCCAAAGGTTGTTGTATCAATTGCAACTTACATGAAGGATAAGGTGGGAATTTTAAATAGAAAATAAAAATTCCGGAAAATACAAGGGATAAAAAAACTGTTAATATAAGCATTGAATTATCATCTTTTGAAAGATGCAGTCTCATAACTGCAATGATGTGTGCAAACAAATTTTGATAACGCGCTAACGCTCGTTACTCAATTTGTTTGCACACATCACTGCAGTTACGAGACTGCATCTTTTAAAAAAATGATAATTCAATGCTTAAGTATATTATTTTTTACAGGTTATACGATAATGAATTTCAGATTTTTTTTCTCAACGTATTCAGGTGATTTTGTATCATTTCAGGTGTGTAACCCTCGCATTCAAGCATTCACTTATACGAAGGTTGAAGTTGAGGAAGATGTCAAAATGAAGTTCTGGAAAGAAGCTATAGCAGTAGCCTTTGTGGCAATTATCATTGCTCTCTTGTATCTAATACAAAAGAGACTATTTTAAACATAATAACATCAGCAGTACATAATAATTACAGAAATACACATGTACCAAATATAATAATTATCATTGTCTGAAATATATGTACGAATAAGTTTAAGATTTTGTGCCCATATATGTATCAGTTTTAAACAACATTTGTCTTTGTTCAGTGTCTTATCATGAGCAAAATAATGCATGCAGTTCACATTTAATACTTTGTTTAATGAAGAAGTTATTGTTATATATTAATTATGCATGTATCATATTGAAAAGAAACGTAATTACTTAAGTTTTACTCTCCATTTAAATGATTAAAAATTAGATTAAAGAAGAAAAGATTTCGTAAAATACAATGACATAATCTTTCACATAATTTCATTTTAAGCCTCCAAGAGTATCCCTTACTCTCACGGTCCATAATTCTGTAACACCTCCTGTTGAAAAGGATGAGAAAGTAGACCATAGTGGGAAAATTGACAATTATTATAGTGAGGCATTACTTTTCTGTCTCCAAATCGTACATATTATTCACCCATCTTATTTAAAAAATATTACTGTTTTTCAATTTCCATCAAGCAATATAATTTCTTTTATATCATACTTGATAATTATTCTGCAAGGGAATCACTGTGTAATCCATGTATCTATAACTGCGTATTAAAAATAAAACTGACTTTCAATTACTTGTTTGATTGCTTGATTGCTGATGTGCTGACTATACATGTATAGGCATGACTTGCTCTCATAAATATGACAATTTAATTTCATTCTTCACCTGCTGTTTACATATGCTATAAATGGAACAAGAAGCCCATGGAGCAAATCGCTCACCTCAGCACTTTGGCCTGGAGCACTATAGATTGGGTAGAGGTTTTCGATATTTGGCTAATTTAGCGACTTATTGATAAAAAATCAGGTGCCTATGCTTGGAGTCATAAAAAATGATTAAAATGAAATTAAAATGTCTGAACCTACTCCTGAATGAATGGGGGAAGGCATATTTTGAATAGACTTGAATATGCAGTACATGTTCTAACATAGAAATATGACCAATCATGGATTTCCTGTTTTCCAGAGGAAGGTTTTTTAAAACGATTTTTCCTGTGTATTCTTATAAACATCTTTGATCTCTTAGGTGGCTTATCGTGTAGCAGGGGGTCATGATTTAAACAAACTTGAAACCACATTATGTAAAGGAAGTTTTTAAAAAGTCTCAACTTAGTTTGGCCCAACAGTTCCTAAGGAGAATCTATTTAAAAAGTATCACCAACAAATTTTTCACTGATTCCCAATAATCTCGCTTTGTAAGATGACTTCGATTCTGAAGACTCTGGAGAAAAAAGTCAAAAATGAGAAAAATTACAGACCGACTATAGACAAAATCTGATCAGAAAAGCCCACGTGAGCTTTCAGCTCAGGTAAGCGAAATAAGTGACCATGAATGACCAAGATATTAGGAGGTTTAAAAGAAGGATGTCATATGAAGTTGATTTCGTTCATTTTTTTTTATGTGAAAAGACAAAAAATGGCTGTGGCCCTCAAATGGACATTTAGATAGATCGACGACGTATTGTCAATTAACAATGGTTATTCCCATTCTAATGTCGAAACGATATACCCAGGTGAGCTTGAGATAAAATATATCACATAGTATGGCACATTGTTACATACATGTATTTGGATCTTTTGCATGAAAAAAAAAACGTCAATGGTAATCAAATGGTAATGTCCAATCACTTTGATTGTGTTTCAATAAAATATGTTTAGATCAAACTAAATATGTTTTCTTAATATCTCTTGATGAGTTTAAATATCATTAAATATTTTTTCGAGTTACTAGATAATTAATATTATTTGTGCATTAATGAAAGTAGTGATCAAGAGCCTGTATTTCTATTTTTTGTGTTTTCTTCGCGAATTCGACCACAAAATGACTGAGAACTATAGCACTTTACGTAAGTCTTGTGATTGCGCCATAGCTAAATTTGAAATGATGGAGAACCCTAACTTCGTGCAAAAATCGATTTTTTCTGAAAGAATTTTATCTGAACTAAGTTTAACAAAAACTGTGTCATCTTTCGTGACTATTTTAAGTTACAGGAGTACATATGTGCATGTACTTTCGTTTCTACATTGTACTATGGCGGAAGGTCCAAAGACACATGCACAAGCATCAGTAGTAGGTAATTCATTTTAAAACATCTAAATTCGTACTTTGCAATTTAAAATCAGTGTAATTCTGTTCCGACTTTGTAACCTCATTGAGACAATGAGTATTCAATATGAAGATGAAAATAAGAATTATTTGCCTTGTTTGTAAATTTACCTATCATTTCAATAAATTTGATCAATATCGCCTTTATTTATTGAACAGATTTTTAGGTATTTTGAGATTGATCACTGTTCATGATATATCTTCACTTTTTTCATTTGTAGAAGAATTTGGATCTAATTCTACATCCTACTTATCCTCATATTCAGTTTTTAAGTATAGCATTCTTCAAAATTTCATTTCAGTCTTAAAAATTATAACATTCATGTCAACTAAAATGAATGTGATTTTGTACACTTGATTTCTTCATAACATATAGAGATGAAGAAAAGCAATCAAGCTAAAAAGTCCATTGTATGACCTCTAAATAAAACATTAGAGGTGGGATCAGGTGTCATAAAAAAGTATGTATCTCCTGTCGACTGGTCCCTATCAGAAATGTGCACTGTTTTCTTTTGAATGTATTAGAGAAAAAATAAGCGTTGAATACTAGTATGCCAGCGATCTATAAAAAAAACAAATGTTAAAACAAAATGAAAGACTTGATAAACTTGCTTGACAGGTAGCAAAACATAGGTACACCCTTTATAGTACTTTAAAGTCAAATTGAAATTAATAATAAAAGATGTGGAATAAAAGGAAAAGGGCGTCATTTCATTTTGGTAAGAGAAGCTTGGACTCGAAATATGTTTAATTAGTTTTCGTGTATTTCAAAAGGTCCAGTAAAACATACATCCAAATAAAGGACCACATATATGTAGTTACTTCAATGTTCAAATTGCACTAAGAAAAATTGAAAACTGAAAAGAAAGTCCAAATACCTATCTCAAGGGTAAAGAACTATATGCGATATTCTGCATATCTTTGCCCCCACAAAAGTCAAATTTTCAAAAATTCTTGAAATGTGCTGAATTATATAAATTGTGTGAGAAATATAGATTAACAGAATATATTATACTTTCAAAGTAGTTTGTTGAAAAAATTTATTTGATGGCGTTACAGACTAGTCCGCTTTTATATCATTTTTTAGAAAGAGGACAAAATGGACAAAATTTCAACATTTTAGCTTTAAAATTTATAGAGTGCAGGTTTTGCTCAGGAACAATATTTACATATTTCATTGATATTATCATTCTACACATTATATCAAAATATTGAGCCTGATCAGACCTGCGCTCGGTGACTTTTACTCAAAATATCGACATAATATAAACATTTTGCTGTAGAAATCATGGAAATTTTAAATTCACGTCATTTTCGTGACGTCATTTTAAACATATTACATAATTGCTTAGGAAAATATTCAGTGCTTTGAAGTCAGCCTATATCCCCCTGTTTAAGAACATAATGAAATATTTCTCCGTCAAAGTTTGATTTGGGGGGCAAATATTGGTTATTACCGAATAAAGTTCTTTCAAGTACCCGACTATACAGCTGCAAATAAGCCGCATAAATAAATGAATAAGATTTTGAAGAAAAGAAAATATTCAGAGATTTTCTTTATTCACCAATTCACCAATTTTCGCCAGATCTCAGCCATTTTGAGATGTTTTTATTCTAAAAATGTATAAAAACAATCAAAGGAAGATTGTAAAATATAAATATGTCATGGGAAATGATATTCGTCAGCGTCTCTGGGGCATCCCCAAATACTTTGAAGTTGATATTAAAGCATTGCTGTAGTTCCTCATTCACAACATCTATGTTATCTTTTGTGCCAAATCTTCTCATGACCTAATCTTTTAAAAATATGTGTGAATGCCAATGGAAACTAATTGTGTCCCTTAGTACACCGACCTGTGAAGCAAAATTTATTCAAAGACTTCTATATGAGAACAAATACTTATTTTACCGACCGACAGGGGATGCTTAATTCATCTAGGTACGTGATCCAACCTCTGGAATTATCAGGGGTTCATGTCTCTCTGTCCTATTCACATATTTGTTAGGGACTTTCTTGAGATCGATCTCTGTTTGTTAACTTCAGTATAAAAATCTACGCATTATCTGCTTTTCAAGGGGATTTTTGATAAACATGATTCTGTGTCATTTCGAAGGCATTGCAGACACAAAAGATTTTCTTCTTCTTGAAATTTACACACCTTTATTTTCATGTACAAAAAAGGAAACTTGGCATTTAGTTTTAGAAGCAAGTTCAAGTAAAAATCAGAATCATGGAAAATATTTCAAACAATTAAATATGAAGATGACTAAAAGTAATCAAGTTCAAAAGTCCATTGAAAAAATACAGAAATGGAACAAAGCTCACAAAAACCTCAGAATCAGGTGTCATGGAGGAGTTACCATCTCCTCTCGACCGGTCACAACTGCGGTGTTCTCATTGTAATGAGAAAAGTAAAAAATTCATAGACAATCCAGTGTTAGATAATGGCTTTTCGTTTAGTATGTACGTCACTCAGCATTCGCCTTCACGATTGAATCGATGCAATGCATGATAGAAAATGCATGCTCTTCAGAGGTTGCAAATAATAAAGAAAACCACAGATTAGGATCAATCAAATAAAGCAACAAAAATGCCGAAAACTTTTCTATGGAGTCTCTACTCGAGTGATAAATTGTCATATGGGATATTGTATAACCTAAACAATTTGAAATTGATCAACATACTAAGAATATTCACTTTTTTTGTTATAAAATCATTAGAAAGGCACTGAGTGCTTGAATGTTTTTGTAAAGAAAGAGGGCGTATAAGGCGTGTACAATCCCCCGCTCTGAGACAAAATGTTTCTCAATTTTCAAAATTCACAAAAAAGTTATATTTTTCTAAAATAATGTTCTCAGTAATGTCATCTTCAAAATATTTTATTATTTCATTTTACTGAATGACTTATCATTTGATAATCTTTATTTCAAAGTTGACAGTTAAGCATATTTAGTGGAAAATGGGTTAAATAGAGCTATAAAAAACGAATTTTGAACATGAATGGGTCAAATCTCCATTCTTCGTGAACGCTTAAATGATGGAAATGTAAATGTAAAATCCATTTCATTTGTCAAAAAAATGGAATCTGAACCCATTCTAGATGATAATCGAACTTTCTGAAAAAATTTTCGCTTCAACAAATCCGTCCATTTAAATCACACTGAAAGACCTCAATAGTGCATATACTTCGTAGCGTAGAGGTTAAAGCGGTTGGTCTAATAAAAGATAAAATAAAAAAAGCGGTTGGTCTTGGACCAAAGCTGCGCTATGGAGAGAGTTCGAATCATACATGAAGCTTTTTCTTTTTTTTCAAATGTCTTAAAAACATGAGTAAAAATAAATTATTTAAACAATGAAATATAGAATTTGATATGTAAAAGATGATATAAACCATAAAATTTAAAAAAATACTACTTTTTGAATTGAGAAATGTCTTTTTTCAGAGCGGGGGATTGCCCTCGCTTTGTACGCCTCCATTCTTTAGAACTTTTAAACTTTATTTTATTTACAATTATTCTAAAAGGTGAAAGAAAAGAATTTGACAACATGGGAAAAGAAGACCCCCTAAAAGAAAGAAGAGAGGAATTGATGCACGAAATAGAAGAAAAATTGCGGCGTATTAAACAGCCAAGAAACATTTTAATACTCGGGCAGCTTGGTGTTGGTAAATCCTCCTTTGTTAATACCGTTACTTCAGTTTTGAATAGAAAGTTTGAATATATAGCTCAGACAGGCAGTGGGTCCAGACACGTGTCAACAACATACCGAAGGTAAGTTTCTTTATCTCATTATCAATATATCATCTCATTTTATCTCAATTAAACCTTAAGGTGATAAAGCACAGATATGCAAAACGAACGATCATCTTTGCAGAACAAAGGTACATAATAACACCACAAACGAAAATAACTTAATAAACAGGCAAGTGGTAAATCTAGTCTTCCCGACGTCCGACTCCCGACGGTCCCGGATATTAGTTTTTTGGCGATTTCCTTTTTATCGGTGCACAGAAACTCTTCAATCTTCTCAGGTACATTTTCTAGGTATAATTGAATTCATAAATATGTAAAAACTTTAACAAATTTGCGTATTTATTACTGGAACAGCAGCATCACCTGTCAAAAAGCGGTAAATCTATTAAAAATGCAATAATAATGAACCATTGAACACTGTTCTCTTTTAGCAAAATCTTATCTCTAACTAGAGTCTTTAGTATATATCTAAAATAATCATCTCATTCTAATTGTCAAGATATTCTAACCCCCTTCATTTTTAGCCCATTGTCTAAAATACTTCTCTAGATTCCATATTAGAAATGAAGTTTTCTCCGGCCATTTGAAAATCTGGGCTCCCTTCATTTAGGATTTTATAAAGTGATAATATTACGATCGTCAATTTGAACAATATTTACATTACTAGTAATGATGTGTCAATTTAACGAGGAAGAAGAACAATATCACTTAATCATTTTTAGATGGACAATATCTAAGTACTGTAAAGTTTGTTTATCATGCATTTCAATGTTAAAATGTAAGGGTAAGGGCATAACTGTAGGACATACACAGTGTACAGTTTAACTTGAAATAAGGTACAACATAAATTGGACTTATTCAATATAAAGAATGTTTTCCGTCTTTACTTCTCATAATACATAGCGGTTTCAAATGGTCAAGTTTAATTTATATCATTTTGTTTATGATTAACTCTTATATTATTTAATGGCTTACTAGATTCACACCGGAGATATATTGGAATCAAAAAGTCGACAAGGAGCTTTCTCTTCCCACTTTTATCGATGTGAGTGGCTTGGAAGAACAGCTGTCCAAATCAAGACATGTACAAAAAGACGATAATGACAGAAACAGTGGAGATGTCCAGACAGACAAAAACAAGGCTTCCGCCAACAAGCAAGCAATAGAATTAATCATTCAGGGCAGACTTCCCGATAATTGTGACCTATTTGCACTTTTTGAAAATCTGAATATGGGGAGAAAAATAGAGAAAGCAACAGAAATTAAAGGAATGGCTGTTGATATTATCATAGTTGTTGTATCCGGAGAAACGATGGCGATTCCCCAGGCTTTGCTTGACGATATCTACGAAGAAGCCAATTTGAACCAAAAAAGTAAAGAATTTTAATCCTTATATGGTATTCAAGAGACTACGTAATGTCCACGCAATGTTTTTGAAATTGCAAATGTCACTAAATGACCTTAAATATATACATTAGATAATATAAACATTCATGGTTATATGTTCATGAATGATAAAACCTTGGTCCACCAAAACAATTTGAAAAATAATAGCTCTTCCTCATATTGTGAGATTATTTTCTTTAAAAAGTAGATTTCAATTTATAAAAAAAAAAGAATTAATAAAAAATGAGATTGTATAACTATGAGTTTTTTTAACATTTTCAGAAATTCCTGTTTTTGGAGTGATGACAAAAAAGGACAAAATTGACGAATCTGTAAATATCGAAGAGAAAACGAAGGAAATTTGTCAGGCTCTAAGCATTGACGAAGAACACTTTTTATTATGTAGGTGTTACCAATCCGAGAAAGCCGAAGACTTAGAAAATGACATAAGAATTTTAGAATTTTTTTCTAAGGTATGTATAACTCATATTCGAAGTTATGGTCTTATATTTCTTGTATATGTACATTAAAAAGAGCTAATTCAAATAGGGTGAAACAATAGGTGCAGAAAAATTTGTAAAACTGTTTTTGCATTCAAATCAGTACATAATATTATAAAATATTTTTCATTTTTGTGTGACAGTCTGTTCACAAGAAAAAATCGAATGTTTTTACAAGATATATAAATAAAGAGTCCATAAATTTGTTGATTTACAGCATAGGGATATCAGTACAAATTATTTTGTATCTAAATTGATAATACAAACGTACGACATGCTTTTATCTAGAGGACGTCAGAACGCATACAAGCTTCATGTAGAATACTAGTGCTAATTGTAACGGGGACCGTTACAGATGTTCCCCAAACGCTCCCCATGTCCCTTTTCGTGCCTTATTCCTCTTAGACCTTTTATAAATATGCTAAGTATCCAAGGATTTCATTTAAGAATATAAAAGTTACAATGATATCAACTATCAACTATATATCGTTTAACGTTTTGCACACGTACATGTACATTCATATCCAAGATGATTATGGCATGTTGGTTAATTTATAAACATATCTTTCTATCCCGCGAATCAAAGAAATACATATATAAAGTTACCATTTTTCAAGCATAGGTCCTTTTTTAATATATCGATTCACATTTTATTTCTCTACTTATTTTAACCTCGGGCTCAAAGTTGGTTTTATTCCGACCACAAGGCAGGGTTAACCTAAAGTCGACTAAGGGTATCACGCCGATAGCTAACCAATCAAAATGAACTTATTCAATAGTAGTTCCATACATGGAAAAGGGATTTTCCTTTCTGTTCGGAATTTTTTTTAATATTTCCTCTCAGGCCATTTTGACAACGCTGGTACCTGTGCCTAGTAAATTTTATATACTTTGTAAATAAATATATAAAGGTTTTTGACCGGAACTATTCATTTTTTCCAATGCATAGGGGGCTACTTTCTGGGGTTTACAAGAGATGTTTAAAAAGACATTCGTGTCAGCTAATGTGACCAATATTGTTTAACACCTTCTTATTAATATTTTTTTTATGAATGCAAATATCTGATTATTTAACGAAGGAGCGTACCTGTATATTGATTTTTAATATACCGAAAATCGCAATTTCTGGGGATTGCGTAATTCTAAAAAAAAATTCAAATAAATTTCAAAGGTAAAATAAACAAAGGATGCTAGGTATTAAAATATTATTTCAAATCAGTAGAATTGAATGCTATTAACGACATCTGAATAAATAGACTATAAAAGGCTTATTATATATACCAACTTTGTTCATCTGCACTTTAATTTTTAACACGACAGGATTTGTAATTTTTTCCGTATAAATTAACAATTTCTATATACCTTGGAAATTCAAATCAAATATTTTAATACACTTTCCTCGAGCTCTTTTCTGCAGTTTTCCTGAAATTTTATGTGGGTCCGAGGTGTTATTTGAGTTTAACAGCGATTCTCTACGTTGCCATTAATTTGATTTGTTTTGTTGTTGCTGGGGGAGGGGGGTATTTTTATCGTTAACCTATTTAACGTTGGAGTTGAATCTTGTATCTTATTCCAAGAACTTAAGATTGATTGTGATATTTGGATGAAAGGTCAAGGTCATTAAAAACCACCACCTCTTTAACTTTTATCCTGCCAACCAAAATAAACTCTGAAAGGTGTTTCTAGATACATGTACATGTACTTCATCTTTCTTTTTACCCTTGGGTCAAGGACAAAGGTTAAGGTCGATTTCAAGTTCATAGGTCAAGGTGATTTCGGTATATAGCTAATATCAACATTTTATTCAGGTTACCAGTGACCTTGACCTAAGTTTCAAGGTCAAGGGTCAAAAGATCTGCATGCTTCAGTATGTTACATGTCTTGACATTTAGAAGTTCTTAATTCTGCATGAACATCACAAACTCAAGTATGCTGTCGTTTAATGCATTGTGTGCGGGTGCATGTGCATGCACGTCCTTGCATTTACTTTTGATAGTAGTATAATGTAGGCATTCATTATATCTATTCATATTCGAAATTGCACCCTGTATTATTGAGAACCAAGAAAGTTGTAGGCATTTAAAGCTTTAGCCAATCAGATTGCAGCACACGTGCATGTGCGTGAGTTCATGATTATTCTTACATATCATGCTGTAGATCTTCATAATGTATGGCTATGTTAAAATTTCAAAGGATTTTGTCAGAAAACAAAAAAGATATTTAGACTTTTAGTTTCAACCAATCGGAGCGAAGCGCACGTGCATGCGCGTGAGATCTTGCTATTTGACCATGTCATCATGTCTATACTACTAATACATCCTTATATTATGAGTTTCAAATCATTTCATCCAAAATTTAAAAAGTTACGGCTATATCTATTATATTGGTCATTTCACGTGTTACACGTGTGCGCACACGCACGCACGTGCGCGCAAAATGACCTTCGTTCCGCACATCTACATAACATACCTAGTGACCATAAAAAGGTTTCACCTAGATCAGATGAGTAGTTTACGAGAACACTCGCGGACAAAAAAGTACCGGAGAACAAAGAAAAATTCAGAAAAAGTAAAAACAATATGTTCCCAAACTTCGTTTGGGGAACATAATGATATAAGTTATGCAATATAGGTCTTCAGTTCTATTATCGATCAAGTCAATTTGATAGAAAAACAATGGCTTAACAACAGATATGAATATGCCAATCAAAATACAACTTAATAAATTATATCTGAGTTAGAATGAGGCGGCGATACAATGTTAAGCGTGTTTTATAATAGATACAAAGTGCAACGTCATTGTATTTGTCTTCATTATCCGACGGCGATAATTATGAACAGAAATATAACGGTAAATGACAACGAACTCAATCTGATTTAACATTGTAAACGAAAGTTTTCATATCATTGTTGAACATGTTGAAAAAGGATACAGTTCTACTTGAGAAACCGAGAATATCTATATCAACTCGTGCAGCTGACTTCTTGCACCTCCAAACGTTTATTTGTTCCGTGCATTAAGTTTTTGTTTTGTAATTATCAATTGCAATTATTTTCCCTTATAATATATCAACAATGTTTCTTTTGTTTTAGTTGTGCAATCTTCATATTACTGCATATGAAATTCCTAAAATGAAATTTCGTGACCCAGCTGATTCCTCTGGTGGATATAGCTACATGCTTCTGAAGGTGGGAATATTCGTCCTCGTCCTTGCTGCATTCCTTCCCCTGATTCTGGACAGACTGGCTAAGAAAAACACAGCTGGATCAACATAACTTTGATATTTGTCAACATATTTTGATAGCAAAGCATTATACATGTACTGCTTTACCGAGAAAACTTTGATACATGTATTATATAATTTCTATCAAGGAAAAAGAAATGATACACTCAATGGCAATCAAGTAGAATTTTAAATAATATATATTTTATCCATATTTCACGTGTTAATTGATATAGTATGTAACTGCACATCTTTTTTAAAAAAAAAAATAAATTAAAATTAATAAAATTCACAACTTCATGTCTGATGGGCAAGGAAAGATAATGAAGGTTATCATGCTGTCATCAGGTTTTCTTCCAAAAAAACATCGATCACATGCAAATGCAGATATCAAGGTCTGCTAAGCTATCATAAGCGAAGAAATTCGATTAAATTGGACTTTTCATATTTATTTACCAACAATAAAATTGAAATACAATTGTTATTTTCCTTTGGATTGTGTTGAGCTATCCCACTCTTAGCAAGAAGGATATGGAGATAGCAAACAGTATTCAATCTCCAAGTCCATAAAACAATAGAAAATAAGAGCAGATCAAACACGGACCTCTTAAACATCAGAGGTGGGATCAGATGGCATGGAGGAGTAAGCATCCCCTGCTGATCGGTCACACCCGCCGTATGCTCCTTGTCATGATCAGGAAATAACGGAAAAGTCCGTCGTCAATTCAGTGTGTAAATAATGGACTAACAATTAGTAGGATAAACGTCAGTCAGCATTTGACTTAATGATAAATTGTATTTGCTAACAAGGTCATTGTATCGATCATACATAGAACTTACGAAATGAGATTAATTTCTTGTGCAAAACCCAGATATACAGAGAATTTTTTGTTCGAGGAATTAGGGCATAGAAAAATGAATTGTTCAATTTAATCCGCGAAATCGATGGAAAAGAAACTACACATGTACAATCAAAATGTTATAAAGTGTTAAAAAAATCTGTTTGTTGTTCTGATTGTGGCACAATCATTCTTGTCTTTGAAGTTTGTACTCCAACAGAATCCATCTTCACAATTTTTGATGCAGTTCTTTTCAGCCATTTCACATCTTGTGCTGATCGGAAGACTGATCCAGGCCATCCTTCACAACTCTTTTGTTTCCAGAAGTATACAGTTGAATGTTATTTTTTTCTTCGGAGATTTCTGTGTTTTCTCCTTTCTGAACTGTTGTTTGTACAATTCTGTGTACTTGAAAGTTAGTTAACTTTGTTGAGATTCTGAAGAGTCTATCTTTAACGTAATCCATTGAACTTTCGTATGGGAAGAAGTTTCGATGTTGTTTCCGAGGTAATTTTTATGGTTATTACCATACTCGAACTGTTTGACTTGTGGTCCATTACTAGTTTTGTCGTACTTAAACTCTGTTTGATTATGAATGATATTCTTGATGCAGACTTTTCTGCTGATGTTGTTGTTCTATAATGCTTTCTTTTTATTGGCTTTTCTCTTCAATGCTCCACTAAGCTTAACTTTATCTTCTTTGTCTTTCTTGGTATACTTTGTCATAGATTGGTGATTCTTCAATCTGGAACCTATGATTGTTCTTCTTGGACCTTGTCTTCTTCTTTGATTGTAAAAATCAAATCTTCTGTTTCTCACAGCAAATGCGTTATATCCTGCTCTGGCAGCTGCTGCTACTATGGGGTAACTATATCTGTTGTAAGTGTAATAATACGCCATTGTTCTAGAATAACGTTAATCTATTGAAATACACTGTCAGTGGCAAAATATAATTAATATCCATGCCCCGATTCCACCGACATTTTTTGGGACGTCTACTGGGTAAAATGCATGTCCCAGAGATCTGTGTTGTTCAAAAGTATTCAAAAACAAACTGCCTCTGGAAAGAATGATGACATATTAAAAAATTGATAGCAGCTATAGACTACCGTGGTATATTCGGATGACCACATCTGTTACGTGACCATGCCTACTCCAACCAATGCTACACCGGGAAATCATGTAAACCAGAGGAACAAAATACTGCTGCTAATTAAACAGTGTGGATGTTGACATAATATATTTACACAATTGTTTCTGTAGAGTGCATATATCTTACGTATTAACTATGTATGTATAATAAAAGTCATCAACAATACTAAATTTTAAATTTAACTGAATAATACTTTTCAAAATAAAATTTATTTCTGTTATATGTTTGGTCAAAAAAAAATTGCATGCATGCATGCATGCATTTTTTATACTGGAAATTTCTCATTAAACGCGAGAAATTTATTATCGCGAAGTGTCGCGAGAAGAATCACATACAATACAAAAAAAACTCCCTTTTATTTTAATAGAAAAATAAAATCCATGATAAAAAAAATAATGGCCTAACAATTAATATGAAAATCGTCAATCAGCATTGATTTAATGGCAGACTGAATGTGTTGACAAGGTCATACTGGTAATTGCATCCAGCATTTAACTGATACGAAATGATGGCTTTAAGCGAAACTGTTGAAATTTTTGTTTCAGCAATTTGTTTGTAAATAACATACCTCGTTTTGAAATTGTTCATACTAGAACATGCTCTAGCGTATCGAATCAATTGAGAGATATAAACTCTGTATGCAGGCGATAAAGGTTCGAGGGCTGTTCAATGAATAATGTCCTGAACTGTATGACATACAATACAGATATCATATGACATGAAACGTGACTTTCTCTCATTATTGAATCTTTAATGAACTTACAAAAGTTTATGTGACCACTTTTCATCACATAGTTTCATCGTGAGAAGCTGGGAAACAAAGGCTATTCGAGACACTGCGTTATAAATACGTGGTAAGGAATCAGTAAACTAAAGTGAAAATAAAAGCATCATTAAAGCTGCTGTAAAACTTGTTAAAAATCCCAAAGAAATATTCACTGAAATATGTGACATTTACAGCAACCAATGCCTGTTTTATAGACAAATAAGCAGGTGGATTTCAATGATAAGTAATTATATAATGGGCATAAAAAATGGGCACCATCCTTGCCAACAAAAATTATAACAACTTATGTACTGTTTGCCAAATTTCAACAAATAATATTTGATGATGTAGGATTGACTTTAAGACACATAGCAAATTAATAGACATCGGGAGTAATTTACACTGTTTTTAAGAAACGTTTGACGGTAAAAAAAAAAAGCTTGGTACTCAAAGGTCACCCCATATTTTGAAAAATGAGTGAAAACGACAGCGTATACAAATGTTTTAACAACAATTTTAAAATATCAGTAATTGTAGTTATCCACGTTTGTTTGATATTCAATAAGTTAATGGAACATGAATCTATTGCTTAAAACCCTCAAAACAAAATTTACCATAAGATTTTACTTGATAAAAACAGCGAAGGTTGGAAAAGAGCAAAGATATGCAAGAGCCCAAAGACAAATTTCTTAAATATTAGTGGTATTTTTGCTCAAATTCGTATTCGGGGAGACAGTTTAATTTCTGGAGGCGTCTAGAAAGCAATTTTTTTGCAAAAAAAAAATATGAAAGGTTTATTAGAGGAAGGACCTAGAATCAGGAATCCACCACATTAAATTTCTTCATGACAGCGTCCAAACCTTCACGCCCCGAAGAGTAAAGGGGGTTTCGGGATAAACAGAAAGTTAATGTTTTTTCACATTAACAATATTCGCCAGATCTTTAACCTTTTAACTTGTTTCTATTTCTAAACGTAAAAAAAACCACCTTTTAGAAGGAAGAAACAAGTCCAAGAAATCATTGGAGACTGCCATTTTCCACTACACTAAGGGTCATACCCAAATATGAGTTCTAAAAACAATCAGAAATTGGATTAAAAATGTTACGGACATGTGTTTTAATTAAAAGATATTAATAAGTAAAACAATGAAGGCTAAATCATTGAAAAGCGTCTTTTGCTTCTTACCGAACACCGAGGACATTATTTATTGAACAGCCCTCGTACAAGTATATTGCTGCATAAGTAAGGGAAGTTGAGGATTGAAATGTTAAAGCCATCACGTTTTGAAACGTTCTAATAAGATTACCATTAATTTATAACGTCTTTTCTAATGAAATATTAAACAGATGTGTCCGACTCTGTTGTAACTTTTATTTTGCTGAACTTCCTAGAATGGAAAGCTTTACAATATACTATTATAAATAGATTGAAAGCTGTTTTTCTGACTCCAAGGTTTTCGTGAAAGGAAATTGTTTTATTTATCAGATTATTATTGCCCTTTCCTTGTTATCTTCACTTCCAACAGAGTATATGACCATATATTCAGAATATTTTGAATCCTTTTTACGCAAGAATTTTCCTTGCCAAGCTTAGATGCAATTTGTCAATGAGGATTCTACTGGAGCGAAGGTTTAGAGAAATACAGACGAACAGACATAATGAGGCATGGCAGATATTGTCGGATACCAATGAGTAAAGGACGGGGTCACCCGTAGGTACCCGAAGACGTCAGACAGCAGGTGATCAGAAAACCTCAGTTGAACTAAATCCATGTGCAGTATGTGCTTGGTCAATGACTTTTCAGCGCACCTCTAAATGTTTTCCCTTTTTTTCTTATGATCAATAGTTGCATTTTTAGTACATAAAAATTGAATTGAACTTCAAATTATTTCGAATTCTTTACTAGTGTTATTTTACAAATGGTGTGGAGTTTTGGTCGGCCGCACGGGTTTTCCAGAGTCGTAATGTGACCATGTTTTGATGACGTCATAGAACTTGTTTCCCGGACAGCTAGTATGGGCCACATCCCTGTGTCCATAAATTTTGTAGTCTGCTGTCAGTTTATGATTGTTGACTAGGCACCCCAGTAGATTCTGAAGGGCGGTTAGGGCGACTGCATTTGGGGGGACCAGTTGGAAGTTGCCCATGACGGCGATTCCCTGACTGACAATCCCCCAGGACGGCATGTGTCCCCCCACCGTGTTCCAACCCCTCCCTTCATAAACGTTGCCGTCCTCTCCGATCATAAAGTTGTACATGATATCAGAGTGGCCTGAAAAAAGTAGAACGGCGGAATAAAGGTCAAAGTTTACATGTCGATGTATATGCATGTAGTATAATCAACAGTATTCTAAATTAAATATATATGCAAGTAGTTTCAAGATGCAAAAGAGTCCAAGTTGAATACTTTTCAATAATATTAATGAATGCCTATAATTAATTGCCAATAGATTTATAAAATTGCCAATAAGTTTATAGATTTTAAAAGTAATTTATATTTAATACTGAGTTTAGAAAGTGTTTTTTTCACATGAGGTAGTTTTATCTAATTAGGAATAGTACTAGTATGTCTTCTTTATTTCGGGTGAGAGACGTAACATGTCAAGAAGATTGCTTTGTTTTGATTTGTTTTTGCTTGTTTGTTTGTTTTCTATAACTTATGTATACTTTGGTTATGTATAATCATTTGTATTCGATGCTACATGTACATAAATTGTTTGAAAAATTTTGGATCATGATGTTATATATACTTTGGTTATCCATATGAAAACTCTGCATTTCCTTTAACTCTGCGATACATGCTGCCTTGCTGGTACAATGATCTCGGTCTGTGTGGTGGATCAAAGCTACAGTCACGGGTGTGGTCATGTGGTCGTGATCATTGGGCGCCCTGGCTCCCCATTCATCACGTGAAATGATACTCACGTTACAAGGCGCACTGAACACTCCTGTAAATATACATACAATTCATTTTGAGATCAAATAGAATTTGCAGGCATCTAGTGTTCCTTTCTTCTCTCCCCCCCCCCCCAAAAAAAAAGAAGAAGAAATTTTAGGTTCTATAGGAGCCTTAGTTTATTAATACGTTTTGCAATATACTTTGTTCAATATTTGCGCATTACAATATTGAATTTATGAGTTTGATCTCTATTCATATTGATGTATCTAAAACTATTTCATTTTAATCAACGTGTAGTTTTTTTTTCAACAATTGCAAAGTAGTCTAGTTTTATCTATTCGTCTTTTGATCAGAAAATGTAGTTTTTACGGCTTAGTAAACCAAAACCCGATACTAGTTCACATATTCGTATCGAAAGCAACTGAAGTAGCAGCTTTTCCTTATGAAAGAAAAGCGTGTACCGATCAGGAAAGATATTGCAAAGTTGTATATCTTGTCTCGCTTCATATTCCCTTCTTCTCAAAACCCAATAGTAAATGTCACCCCTCCAGTTTAATTTTGAAGGTTCAGGTAAATATGACAATCCTAAAAAGTCTATTTTCAGCTATTTTCAGCGTTATCCTTAAACTTAGTTCTTGTACGTTGTTGTATTTTCTCATATTTTTTTTAAAATAAATTGAAAATGAAATCAAGAATTTCATATGAAGATAATCATCAAATGTAAATTGTTTTTAAATTGTGAAAGAAATGTGTATTAAAAACATCGAAATTCACATATTATTTTTGAAGCAAAATTATCAACATTCTTTTTCAAAGTTAGCTCAAAGCCGTGGTCAACAAATATCCCATGGACTAAATTGAAAACGGTGTGGAAAACAAAAAGAGTTTGATCTAAAGAAAAAAAATTCTATAAACAATACAAATTTGAGGACAGAGCACTAAACATGGACACCTGGGAATCCCAGAGGTGGGTCCATGTGCCTAAGAAGAGTAAGCATCCCCAAATTCAATAAAAAAAAACAAAGCCTTGAAATTATTATGAATCACGTCATCCTAAATGTTACCACTTTGTACTAACATGGTCTTTATAACGGAATTGTTGAAGTGCCCGTTACACCGATCTGTCTTTTGGTAGCATGCCTCGGGTTTAAAGCATCGTGCTCGGAGTATTCTCTCGAGTATTGAATTGGTTTGGAGATGCAGGTGATATCGAGGATCTTGCTACACAAATAAGGAAAGGTGACGATGGAAAAGCTGTAGTCATATCGTTTGTTACACAATTTACTTATTAGCTGGTCTTTATCCTTTTGTGAAACAGATGAGACAGGCTCTGAGATGTCTTTATTTCATATTCATTGGGAAAAACTGACATATCATTGGAAGTAATTATTGTTAATTGATAATAATTCGTCGTTTTTTCTTAATATTGAGTCGAAGGCCAAAGTAAGAGTTTACTTCTTCTGAAAAATATCTCTTTCTTGAATCTTAGATCAATTAGGTTGAAAAAGGAACTTCATTAGCCCCATTGTATTTCCGACATTTTTTTTGATAGCTCTGGTCTCCAAATATACTGCATATGTTGCCAATGAGTAACCTCAGCATGATTTTTATATCAACTTCAGTACTTGTATGAAGAAAAAGATGTTTTAAAAAGTTATGTTGTTGCCGTACATCAATTTCAATTAATTTTATCGAAGAAATAATTGTCTTTGAAAAAAAAAGCTTATGTTAATCGTGAGGAATGTTTATACAGTAAAATTTGTCTAATCCGGACTCTGAGTACTCCGAATTTTTGTCCATTCCATCTATAATTTTAGTCCCATGCACTTCTTTAACAAATTCATTTTAAAATATTCTGTGTAGTCCGGATACTGTCTATTCTGTATTCCGAACGGCCACACTGGTCCCAACTGATCATAATTAACGGTAATTATTCCCTCTAATCCGGCCACACCTGAGTTACTTCAAAGCAATTAACACCTTTCGTGGGGAATGTGATAATCTGTGTTTACATTAGCATGATTATTAGTGCCATGAGACGAACTCGGTGAAATGCGGCGGTGACACAGTCCACTTGAAAAATATATTATATGATTAAATTACAATTTAAAAAAATTAACTTTGTTTTAACTCCTTTTACCACATTATAACATAAACACAAAAATATATGTACGCGATTTACAAATCAAAATATGAATCGGGATCGAAAATCGAACGCATTTGTAAATGGCGCCGTAACACTGTTGAGGAAGACGTAATTTTTTACATAAAATTAAAAGTTCAATCTAATAATTAGCACATCATAAATAATTGTACATTACTGTTAATACATTGAATGAGGTCTTTGACAAGCGAAACCCGGTCCGCTTGATACATAGTAGGCCTATATTATGCGTGCCTGTATATTTTGATTGAGGTAACATTTCACCCGACTTTCAAACTTCGTGAACAAATAAGAAAATACAGTTAGTCATGTGAGAATATCTTATAATTTCTACACTCCTAAATAGTAATTGATTCCATCATTTAATTTTATTTATAATTTGTATATGATGTACTTGTAAATAAACAACAACGATAATTTTCGAAATTTATATTTTCCTGCATTTTTCCTGCACTCCGGATTCTGTCTAATCCGGCCAAATTTTATGGAACCGGCGGTAGCCGGATTGGACAAATTATACTGTATAAAATATAGAAAATACAGCTGAACACACTTTTTAAACTCACATGGCTTTTGGCACAAATTAAGTCACATTGTTATAATGCAAAATTGAGTAACGAGACTACAAATTTTTTTTTTATAAAAAAAGTTTAATAATTGATTTGATTTGGTTTGATTTTAAATCACTAACTTAGAACATAATTTACACATAATAATTGGTAGGATTTTAATATGCTCTTGGATGATAAATTATGTCAGCTCCCAAATGGTTTTTCATGGTTTCTCATCAAATACAGTCGTCTTTGTATCCGTTCTTTTTAAAGCAGTCATTTGCATTGCCTAGACACAAAAACAGTGCAGTTCGTGTAACTTCTGTGTTTTCTGTGCATTAATATGACTCTAAAGCGCAAGATGATAACAGTATTTCTCAGCTTTCCATGTTAAAAAGCTGGCATTCTTTCAGGGTTACTTTCTGAAATCTTGCATCATGAAATATATGCCCAACCGCAAAATTTTCAAAGTTTCAGACTTTAAGTGTAAAATAATTTTCTTTTGAATAGTAACAATTTGCTAATATTAAAGATAAACAATACCTTATTATCCTATCTTTTGGCATGTTTTCTTTGTTCAACATTGTCATTTTCGGCGATCCATTTCGACAAAACCAAGACGAGTACGGAAGATGTGCAATGTACTTAGAAAAATACTCACCTTTAAAAGTCAGTTTGGAAATTTCTACTTTTTAATAGTAACAAAGAAAGCTCGATTAATTTAATTTTTAAATACCCATTGTAGAATCATATAGATACAATATCAGACCATTTATTAATAAAATTTCCTTTAAAACATCGACTTTGAAAACTTACGATAATGATTCTTAAGAACATATACTTTTGACATTAGATACTGTATTTAATACATATTAGGGTTATGTCTCGTGCTGAAGTTCAATTATGTTAAGTTTTATTGCAAAAAGAATGTGACTTTAATTTGTGCAAAAAACCAAGTGAGTTTAAAAAGTGCATTGAGCTGTACATTTTGATGCCAAGGACTTATTTTTAAAGTATAAGGAATTTTAATTTTCATTAGGATTTTATTTTAAAAACTATTTTGAATTTCTATTAACTTGTATACCTGTCATTCTCCACAATTTAGAACAGTATATGACTTACTTTCATACTGCACCAATGTGCATAGAAATATAGCTAAAATGAACATCTCGTCTTTCACACCACGCTGTAGTATATATAGATTGGAGATCTTAAAGATTTCAGATAAGACGTGCAGGGTTTCAAAATGCCATAACGTGTTATGCATCTTGAACCTGTATTGATAAGACTCTCATTATGTTCTCTGTCGTGTGCAATTTTGTTAAATTAGTTTAATTTAATGATAATATTTGTTTAAAATTATGTATATATATGGAGATAACGAAAAGTCTTTAATTTATAAGTTAATTCAAAAATACAAAATTTAGGTGGTGAAAATTAAATTTTTTCATGCAACAATTTTTATTATATGCCTCTCAATGTGCTTAACATTCCCTGCCGACCGGTAACACACGCCGTGTGCTCCTTGTCATGTTTAGGAAAAATTCGTCGACAACTCTGTGTGTACATAATGGCCTAACAATTATGAAAAACGTCAGTCAGCATTTGACTTGATGATAAAGTGAAAGCATTTGCTGACAAGGTCATTGTATCGACTACAGAATTTCATAAATGATGACTTTAAACGAGACTGCAGATATTGTTTCTTCATCAACCTGTTTGTCAATAACTTACCTCGTTTTAGAAATTGTCTATACGTAGAACATGCTCTTCGGTATCGATACCTGATAGATATAAACTCTGTTTGTAGGTGAAAAAGGTATATTGCTGTATTAGTTAAACAAGTTGAAAAGTTTAATTCATCACGATTATCATAAAGCTTGGTAATTAGATAATAATTAACGTCTTTTTCTAGTAAAAGATTCAGAAAGTGCTTTCTTCTTTTCACGTGATATAAGATTTGAAAATAATTATCATTGTTATTTGACGCCGATATATCTAAATGTGGAGTTGAAGGCCATAGAAAGTGCTTTCTTCTTTTCATGTGTTGAATTTTGAACAAACTCTGCTTCATATGAATACAAAAATAGATCTGCTAATAACGGAACGCAATTGGTACCCAGGGGAATGACTGTTGGAAAATCTGGTCTTCAAAAATTTACATAGGTATTGTCAATCAGTAAACTTGAGCATTTCTTAATAATAAGTAGGTTATATTTAATAATTCAATAACAAAAAAAGAGAGTAGGTAACCGGTCAGCAGGGGATGCTCTCTCCTCCATGGCATCTGATCACACCTCTGATGTGTTAAAGATCCATGCTTGCTATGTTGCTGATTTTTTATTGTTTTAATGAACATTTTATCTTGAATACTGTATGTTATCTCCATATATTTCATTGATTTCCTAATGGGCAGTATTTGTTAGACAAGGTCAATATATCAATCATAGAATATGCAGAATGTCTACTTTAGATGTACGTTTTGATGATATGATTTTGGTCAAAGTTTGTTATTCTACATTTTCAAAATGTTTGTGGGAGCTGTTTTCAGTCAACGTATTCCTGAAAGATACAAGAGTTGTCTTTCATTATCCACAGCCAAAGAATCCGTCCCGGCCAAAATAATATTTTTCTTTAACATTTACACATCATTGTTCCTTACTAGCTGTAAGATTTCTGCTGAACAAAGTGTACCTATGTGTAATTCGTCGATTTTAATTTATGTTTTATATCAGCGTATTTTGCCCTTATAATAAATTTGTATTGCTAGTAGAATTTATAAATCTATGACTTTTTGTTATCGTCACCTTTTCATGTGAAAACCAAAGTATGTATAAATTTAGGATTACTTAGTACTTAAAAAGTTCCTCGTGCTCTCTTTCGTGGCTCTGCATGCTTTGATTACTCATGAACGAGAGAAGTTTTGTTTTTATTCATTAATTTTATACGGACTTTTAAGTGTATCAATTTCATGACACACTTTCTTTTATTTGCATCCTCAAAAACTCGAAAACAAATTCATAAAACGGGTAACTTGAATATTTCAAGATTTTCTTGAAATATAAATATTTTCTCTTGTTAAAGAAGCGTTAATGACGTAGTATAATTGCATTATATGTAGCAACTGAGATAAAACACACGTTCATCTTAAATATAAAGATCACAAGTGGAAATGTATCTCTGACCACAAATAACCAGGTTTTGATTTCATTCTTCCGGTATTGAGACGTCAAACGGAGAAATGAGGGCCACTAATTCGCCTTAATAGACATTTGATTAGGATTAAATCTGCGATTTATTGCTCTGTAATTACATTATAGAACAGAATGTTTCCCCAAGTTTTCAAAGGCAAAGTTTGGAGATTTAATTACGAGCCCTCTTTGCCACACATCTGCGTTATTAAGGGCTGCCAGAGTAGCTTCTCCGCGCTTCATTTATTGTCCCTCAGTTTGTGATTATTCAATTGCTCGTTCTCCATTCGATTCATTGGTCCCTCAATTCAATTCCTCGTCGAGTAATCGTGGAAATTTGTCACATTAAGTGCTTTAACTGTCATCGCCTGTTGGACGGCTACTTTCGGTTTGCTCACCTTAATTGATATCCCTTTGGCATAGGCTTTGTCATGTGGCAAAAGACAATCCAGCTACTCCTGGAAAGCCTTTGACAGAATACTTAACTAAAACGAGCATTAATTCTGATTATTTCCGATGAAATGCCATTTATCATCATTAGTAGCGACTTAAGATTGGTAGGCTAACCCCGATACTATAATGAAGAAATTGTAAGATTATTTGAACTTCATAAAAGTATTATTCGTATTGCCTGAAAGAGGCCTCTGTGGAAAAAAGAAGTTATCATTTGAACATTAAGCGAAATTGGGTTAGAATTATCCCCCTTTTAATTCACACGATAATTATGTGGTTCCAGACTCGATCAACTTTCAATTCAGTTGACGAATCTGGAAACACGTGATAAAGACGCTGGTGATGATAACGAGGCCGCTGATGCACCTATATACCGGTATATTGACGATTTATCATCCACGTCACTCACTGATTCTTAATAACCAGAATACTTACATTGTAAAAGCATCTTTTCTTAGTCCAACTTTTGTTTTACAATGATCAGTTTTGTTAACTCCCTTTCCTTTGTATGGGGTCATTTTAGCTGAATGTCTTAGCAGTCAAAAAACTTTTTTTGTTTGTTTTTTAATGCTTTATTTCCGTGCTTTCAATACAATCAAATACATTTATCAAAATTGCACAGAAAATTTTCACACCCACACACTTTCGCACTTCACTCACACTTACATCAACAATATATCAATTATTGCAAATTTTTACACACTTTATGGATAAAAAAAGAAGAAATAAAAAAGTATGGTACAATTGTTCTAATTTTATACGACAGAAGCAGAACCTAAGACAGCAATCTACTGAAGTTGACTATAGCAATAAGACTTCAAGCTAAAGACAATAAGCTCAGAACATAATTTCATAATAATGGTCATAATTTTGATTTTGAATATGGTAAATTTTATCTTTATATTGCATATACTATTGGTTTAACATGCATATGTTAATGTTAAAAATACTGTAGATTTAAATATTTAAAATCAATCATATGATGAAAAAATTTAGTTTCATTTGTTTACTTCCAAAGTCAAGTTTTATTTGTGATCTTGACTTAAGACTTTTTTTTAAGTTTATTGTTAAGGGGCCAGGAATATTTACATTTTTTAGCATAAAATGAAATATTTTGGGGGAATGAAATAAATACTTTTGTATTATTTACATATATTAACATTTCAAGTGTATTTTGCTATTGCTTAAAAAATAGTAGAAAGCTACTGCATTCAAGCTGTTTTGAATGTGGTTGCTTTCCACTTTTTACACTTTATAAAAATAATACATGTGAAATGTTAATATTTCCTGTGGCATTCTCTTCAATCACCGGTAACATTAAACAGTTGTAAAAGCTTGTATGGATTTTACTTTTATATCAGAGAAAATATTATTTCTGAGGAAATAAATTTCCTCAGTTCGTATTGATTAAAAGGTTAATGTTTAATAAATTGATTTTTTTAATTTATATAAATTGGGTACTTGTTTAGAAGTGTGCAACCCTTCCTGATTCGCATTTGGATATGTTTTCTTCTTGTCTGATCAATGAATTAAAAAGTATGTTAAACATAATTTCGTATAAAATCATTCTTATTGTTTGAGTAGTTTTTCCTGTCATGTGACAAACCTTCACATGTTTAAAGAAAATATATTTCACAGCAGACCATAACTGCAATGAAATAACATTTTTCATAAAGCATTACTATAGTTGTGGGCTTATTTAAATAAACTTATCTGTTTTTTTTCGGTGCCTCATTTCCTAGTCATTGTTTCAATGAAGGGCCATTTCTCTACTTTATTCCGATAATTATATTCAAAGGAAAATAGCGTATCATCGTAAATGGTTTTGCAATTTGGTGATATTATCGATAGATTTCGAGGAGCGACTGGGGCGAGAAGGGGAATTAGGCGAGGATTTAGATCGGACACTTTGTTTTATTAAAAGGCAAAATTGCGTCTGATAAGCGAATAGAGGGACGGACGAGCAATAAAAAGTTGATATGAAGTGAATCAAAATGCGCATGAATTTTGCGGCGATGTAATTCAAGGGATTTATTTTATAGAAAATGCTGTTCACGTTGATCCGAAAAAACACGCCGCAACTAATGCTGAACAAATTGGTCCCGCATAGGGAAAATGAAACAAATAACGTTATAATTAAACTCTATTGGCTGTGCCGAGGTTCTCCTCAATAGACTGGAATACTTTGTACCTGAAAGCCCAATAATGAATTATGTACATTGTCAAAGTTTTCACATTTGAACATCAAATCAGGTAGGGTCTGATTCATAAATGAAAGTTATAACCAGAAATAATATAATTTGGTTTTTTCTTTTTTTTTTCGGGGGGGGGGGTATTTAAGAATGGGTATTTAGTAATTATCATCATTGCTTAGATTATAAACTGTTAACTGTTAAGAAAGAAAAGCTTGCCTGCATGATATATATGGATATAGCAAACAGTATTCAAGCTTGAAAGTCCATTCAAACATTTTGGAGCAGAGCAAACATGGACCTTCATACATCTGAGGTGGAATCATGTGCCATTGAGGGGTGTGCATCCCCTATATACCAACCGGGCACACCCACTATGTTCCCTTTTCATGATCGGGAA